TCTATCTTTCTATCTTTCTAATCAAACCTAATCTAATCAAACCTAATCTAATCAAACCTAATCTAATCCAACCTCATCTAATCAAACCTAATCTAATCAAACCTAATCTAATCTGATCTAATCTGATCTAACCAAACCTAATCTTATCTTATCTATCTAGTCTATCTAAACTATCTATCTAATCTATTTGATCTATCTAATCTATCCAATCTGTCTAATCTATCTAATCTTTCGACCTTATCTATCTAATCTAATCTAACCTAACCTAACCTAATCTAATCTAATCTAATCTAATCTATCTACCTATTTACCTATCTATCTAATCTATCTAATCTAATCTAATCTAATCTAATCTAATCTAATCTAATCTAATCTATCTATCTACCTATTTACCTATCTATCTAAACTATCTATCTCCTAAACCAACCCTAAATAACCCTAAATAAACCATAAACCAACCCTAAATAAACCTTAAATAAACCTTGAACCAACCCTAAAGAAACCCTAAACAAACCCGACATAACCAACCCTAGAGAAACCTTAAACAAACCCTAAATAAATATAAATAAACCTTAAACCAATCCTAAATAAACCTAAATAAAGCGTAAACCAACCCTAAATAAACCCTAAACCAACAAACACTAAATAACTCAAATAAACCCTAAACCAACTTTAAATAAACCCTAAATCAACCCTAAATAAGCCCTAAGCCATCCCTAAAAAAACTCTGGAGAAAACCCAAACCAACACTAAATAAACTTTGAACCAACTTTAAATAAACCCTAAATCAACCCTAAATAAGCCCTAAACCATCCCTAAAAAACTCTGGAGAAACCCCAAACCAACACTAAATAGACTTTAAACCAACCCTAAATAAACCGTAAACCAACTTTAAATCAACCCTAAATAAACCCTAAACATCCCTAAACCATCCCTAAATAACTCTGGATACACCCTAAACTTCCAACACTAAATAAACCCTAAACCAACCGTAAACAAACCCTAAACCAACCAACACTATGATAGCATTCAATGCCACTCTTTAGACACAACACAGTTGTGCTTCAACAATCGACAAACAGTGCAAATGGTAAATTTAGCTCCAAAATTCAGCAAAGTACAGGTGTTTGCTCCAAAATGTAGCAAATAGCAAGGAAAAGTGACCCAAAAAAAACAAAAAAACTTGCACCCATGTTTTTTGAATTGACTAGTCATCAAATCATCATTCTTATCAGTTGACAAAAAAGTCAGAGTTTGAGAGTTCACTGTGGGTCTCTTAATTTTTTGGTTCTGAGGCAGCCACCCAGACCTGCAGCCATCGTGATCAAAGAGCCAGATCCTGATGACAGTTGACTTGAGAGCAAGTGACGGGACACCAATTGAGGTAAAGCCATGGATTTTCAAAGGCAAATCTCTCTGTGACCAAAAGCACAAGTCTTGGACATGTTCATGGGTTCTTTGGGTGTTTTAGGTAAATGATGTTTTGAACATGTTTGGTAATGTAATTCTATGTAATTCTTTAAAACTTTTTTAAAACGTTGCTTTGTGTAGGGATATGTAGGGCACTGTAAAGTCACGATTTCGTCCGTCACTGCAGTGCTGATGCTTCGTCCGAGCCTCCAAAGTCGAAGGCTTTGGCAGTGCTCGTGCGCTAACCACAGTGTTTCGGTTTTAACTTGCCGCAGTCCATGAGGTCACCGGGCAAATTATTCAAGAGGGCAGTTGTGTGCAATATACATTCAATATGATTCAATTCGAAAATCGAAAATATATACGAGGTCATAATATGATGTCCAAATGCCAATCGTGTGTTTTTTCACACACACACCCGTTCCCCACCCACCTGCCTCTCCCTGCCCCTTATACTGTAGCTCGATATATCATTTTGATGTCTAACTCACTCGACCTGACTCCCTCCGCCGAACTCACTCCTCACCACCTTCCTCCATGTCCCCTCTCTCATCTCACGTCGCACTATTCCCTTGTATGGCTTTGATATTTCATCTCCTCCCACCTCCCCCTGGTTAGCTTTCCTTAATCAACCCTTGGGGCTCAAGCCTTAAATATCCCCATATACTATCATATAATAGGCCTCCAACATGAAGAAAGCATGACTCCAATTCCTTTTTCAGGGCTTCGTTGAAACACAAAAGGTGCAAGGCTGCTCCAGTGCTCAGCTTGGGACGCCGATGCGGTAAGATGATCTTCCCATGTGCAGCAAGACACGTGAGTCACTGGACATCACTTGACCGTGTGGTTGCACATGCACCCAAACGCAGCAAATGCTGTGAATGTCATCGATGAAATCCAAATTCAAATAATTTCAGATCCCAAGATGCTGGGTTTTGCCCTGACACGAGTCATGGTGAAGGCTCCATGGCCGACATCATGGCTGACATTTTTGAAACTCTATGTCTATGATGTCTATATGGATTGTTCAATTTGATCAATACAGTACTTATGTCCCGAGTTCCAATTGTTTCTGAATGGCAATGCATCCAGGACAATTACACAAGGCTGACCCGGCGACTCCTTGATGGTGGCTGTATGATCAAACTTTGCCTGGGTGGCCAGCCTCAAAACAAAACTGTCGATGGCTGGCGGCACAGACTCTGGAGATGCCTGAGATCTGCATAATTTGACCGTAGTCAAGCTCTAAATCTCAAGGGGCAAATGCGCCAAATGTGCAGGAGAGTTAAGTTATATGCGGGTTTATATTTTGTTAATGCCGTGATACTGAGGATGTGGGGATCCGGCCTCCCCAGGTACATTCTCCTGGCTGCAGCGACGGCTGCTGGCGTTGGCTTGAAGCCTTATCCAGGCCCCAGTGTCCACCTGCAAGTCAGCTGCAATCCTTGGAGTCATGGAAATTGGATTTGGATTTGATGGATATATTATGTGTATATATGTGTGATAGACCTTTAATAACTTTAATAGGTACTTGACAATAAAAAAACACAAGCGGAGGAAGGCCAAATGGTTTCAAAGTAAGACCACAGCTGAGAGAGCCTTGCCTGACCACCCTTCAGGATACCTGGACATGTATCGATGCTTTTGTGGACCTCCCTCCATCCATTATCCCAGTACGCACTGGCAGCTGGACTATAGATTTTCAGTGGGGACCAGCCAAGCCATGCAGTTCAGCTAGTTTCTTCCTACAAGAAAGCATGCGTGTGGACATATGAATGTAGGAACGAAATCAACCCAAAAGGTCCTCTCCACAATATATATATATATATATTATACATAATATATATATATTATACATAATATATATATATATATCACAATGTACGTATATATATATATACATATATATATAATTACATCGCAATATATATATATATCACAATATATATATATATATCACAACATATATATATATATCACAATATATATATATATATCACAATATATATATACCACAATATATATATATATATATATACATGGATATAATATGTATGTGTATGAATTTGTCTGAATTTTCAATGTATTTGTTGGCAGTTGAACCGATGTCGCTCCAAGAACGCAACGGATCACGGCGGCAGGTTACCCGTTGCCAGAGCCGCGTGACAGCTGGCTGCAGACCCACGCTGCGGAGGTGCATCGACCATTCATACGAGGTTGCTCAGCCCGGGGCATACATCCCCAGTTGTCACCACATATTCCCATGTTCTCCTTAATAAGCATCTTAAAAAGCATCCAAAGTGAACTTTGCACTTCGCCACTGTTTATCTTCCCAACCTTCAGAGTTTTGCGTTGCGCAGCAGGCGACATCACTGTGAAGTGAGTGTGCGAGCCTGCTGGGTTGCTGTGCTTTCAGCACACATTCCATTACATATCATTACATTTATACCAACAGTTATACCTTGTTCTTCAGATTTGGGTATTTCATGACTTCATTGTCATGTAGGATATGCATGCAATTTTACGGACATGTGGGAGTTATCTTAGACAACGAAACACGCGATGTGACCAGAGGACTTGTAGCACAGACAGCGAGTGCAAAATTGAGTGCAATGGCGTAACATAGACATGAAACACGTTTTAATGGATGATTCATAAATTGAAGGATTTCTCGGGTTTTGCATGTCATGATGGCATCACCAGTGATTTGATCTTTGGTAAAATTCTGGGATGCTGAGCTCTTCATGAGATGCAAATGCAGACGTGGTACTCGTGGTACCTCTGTGCAGATGGGTCGCCACGGCCTTCGTTGTCGTCATTTGATGGCTCCTGCGGTCCGCCTGAGCGGGCTTTGGGAAACGGAGTCCGCATGAATTGATTTTTGTGATACGTATATAATATAGAAATACATTTACCTGGAGATTCAAAATCTTGGAAAAATCCCTAAGTTCTCGGTGTTTACCTGCTTTTCTCTGAAAGCGATGGACTTTGACGTCAAACACCTGAAACTCCTAAAACTCCTTGTTTTTGGAACGGCAATTGGATGTCCAGGGTGTTTTTCAAGGTCTGAGGGTTGAGTTGAGCAAAGTGAAAGCTGCCACCGAAAACGTTGGAAATTACCCGCAAAAATCCCGCAACTTTCCGCAAAACTTCCGCAAAAACCCGCAAATCCCAAAATGACGGAGCTAACATTTTCAGATTCTCAGGGTTTGGGGATGCCCCAACTTGGCAGTGTTGCACTGTGAAATGGCATGAAACACCTGAAACTCCTGAATTTTTCCAGGAAAATCTCCAGGTAGTATCATTTAGTAATCTTAATGCACTGCACTGCACATGTGCACTTCCAAGGTCTTTCCAAGTATATTATAATTACGTACTTCTGCTGGTGCAACAGAGTTGCACAATTTTTCTTGAACCAAGTGTTGATCATGCACTTGGTTTCTATTCCCAATTCGCAAGTGATGAGAAATGATGTAAGTGTCTATCAAAACCAAATATCGCATCCATTTCTTCAAGGCCCAATTTGACAACGCTACGGAAAGCTCCTGAAATTTTGCGAGGCTTTGAAGGCCGCAGAACTGGTGCCCGTGATGAAGCTGGAGGAGATGCTGCATGTTTGGCAGGCGACTCCGACCATCGGCCCTTGGGGTCCGTTGTCCCACCATGAGCGTTTTGCGCTAGGGCTTGGTCCGCTTCAGCAAAGACCATCGGAACTTCTATTTGAAGGTGAGGATAGATGGACTCGGATAGACGGCGGATGAATTCTCCTGTTCTGCTCCGGAGCCAATCTAAGTCTTGGAGTTGGGTAGAGAGCATCAAAGGACCCAATTGGCCATGTGCAGGGAAAATCGCTATGGGGCCTAAACGATACTTTCCACGCGGAAGTTCAGGGGGATGTAACTTACTATAGCCAAGTCTCGTCATGGTGGGTATCATTGCCAACTGCTAAAAGACGTTGCAGAGCTTCAGATTTTTAGAGTTTTTCTCTCCTTTAAGGCACGTCCTCGTTTGCAGCCTCAGGCGCAGTCACAGTCAGGATTTGGATTGTTGTGTTTTAGAGAAGATCTTGGGAAGTAGATTTGGTTTGGTTTGAGTTGTCCTCAAGTGAGCAAAAGGTTGACAGATTTTTGGCCTGCAAGATTACCAATACAAATGATGATCTGCTTGTTCTGTTGGCTTCTTGATTGCCAAAAGCCTTACCCTGTAGCCATCTGCTCAGTTGTCCTCGATGAGCATCCGGCAGCTTCTGCTGGTGTCGGACTGCCAAGACCAGTCGCATCATAGCAGTGATTGCACCCAGATTGAAAGCAGTCGCATCTATACTGTAGAGGTCTCCAAATGAACGGAAAGGGGAACCCCCGTTCAACATCGCTCAACTAATCAAGAGATATCATAAGATACTGTATCGGGGAACTGTATTTCACCATGATACTGTCGTTTTCGCCATATATTTCACCATCAGAATAATATAATATTATATTATATTTTATTATATTATATTATATTTTATTATATTATATTATATTTTTACTATATTATATTATATTATATTATAATATATTTATATTATTATATATTATATATTATTATATTATATTATATAATATATATATAATAAACATATATATATAATAATATATATATGATTATATTATATTATATTATATTATATATATAATATTATATATATAATATTTATTATATTATATGTATTATATTAAATTTATTATATTATATTATATATATAATATTATATATATAATATTTATTATATTATATGTATTATATTATATTTATTATATTATATTTATTATATTATATTTATTATATTATATTTATTATATTATATTATATATATTATATTATATTATATTATATTTATATTATATAATATATTAGTTTATATTATATTATATTATCTAATATATATTATAAATATATATATATAATTATATATATATTATAAATATATATATATATATTATAAATATATATATAATTATATATATATAATTTTATTATATTATATATGATTTTATATTATATTATATATTTATTATTTTATATTATATTATATTTTATTATATTATATTAAATATATATATAATATAATATATATATATATTATTATAATATATTATATATTATGTTATATTATATTTTATTATATTATATATGATTTTATTTTATTTTATATTATATTATATATATAATAAATATATATAATATATATAATAATAATATATAACAATAATAATAATAATATAATAATAATATATAACAATAATAATATAATATAATATAATATATATATATAATATAATATAATATAATATAATATATATAATATAATATAATATAATATAATATAATATATATATAATATAATATAATATAATATAATATAAAAATAATATAATATAATATATATAATATAATATAATATAATATAATGTAATGTAATATAATATAATAATATATATATATAATATAATATAATATAATATAAAAATAATATAATATAATATAATATATATATATAATATAATATAATATAATATAATATATATATAATATAATATAATATAATATTATATAATATAATATAAAAATAATATAATATAATATAATATAATATAATATATATATAATATAATATAATATAATATAAAAATAATATAATATAATATAATATAATATATATATATAATATAATATAATATAATATAAAAATAATATAATATAATATATATATATATAATATAATATAATATAATATTACATATATAGATAGGTATGGAACTGTCATTTCACCATCGTTTCACCAGACCTGTGCCCAAGGCTTCGAGGGGCCAGAGATCTTCGACATTCCATGGCAGATCTGCACGTGCGCCGAACAAGAGCCCTACCATGCCTGTCCGCGGGAAATCCATAACAAAACAATGCAAAGCATTGCACAGCTATATCAAACATCATTCATTATTTATAATTATCTACGTATTTTATGTTAATTGAAATTGTATAAATGATTGCCTTTGATTCATTATGATTCTACAATGATTCTATGATGATTGTTTGGACAAGAAAATTAAGAAACATCTTGGTGTGTGTATGTAGAATTGTAAGTCCTAGTTTGCAATTTGATGTAAACCCCAGGGATCACACCATGATTCCATCGGTGCCAAGGGGGCCACTTGTGCAGCACTGCTTCCTCGGGTGAATGAACTCTTGCCTTCGGAGGCGTGCAAATTTGACTGCAGACAGCCCCCACTGGAATGGGCCCACAAACGCTCCACGAACATCTACCGCTTGTCATATTCTTGCTCTTGTTGCTGTTGTTCTTCTTGTTGTTCTTGTTGTTGCCCCTATCTTTGTCTTTCCAAGGACCAACCAATCCCATTCCAATGTGATAAGCAAAGACATCCAGCTGATTAACAGTCGATGACCGTCACAGGCAGCGGCTTGCCTGACCTTTTGCATCTTCTCCCCTCGCTATCGTTCCCAGGTGTGGTGCTGTGATGTGTTGCAAGCTGCTTAGCCCGAATGCCTTGCAATAACCAAGGAATCTGTATTCGAATTGCTTTAAACGATTCAAAAACCATCAAAAACCATGGTGAAAGTGGTGAAGCACGGTGAAGGTGAAACTCACCTGCTTTGATTGGCACTTCAACCAGCCGCGAGGCAATGTCCTTGGTGAAGTCCATCACTGAGATCTGGACGTCGCAGGACGGTCGTTTTCCGCTGGCAGCCGCTGGCTGGTTGAAGATGGGCCAAGGAAAAAAAATGTCCCAATCATTGGTTGGCAAGCTATTCAAGCTATACTCTACTATTGGTGGTGGGTACATTGCAAGAGGGTAAAAGACACAAAAAACACATGAGTCACATGAAAACCACTACCCCATTCTTGCCGGATTGTCAAAGCTGGTGACCACTGCAACCAGGACTTGACTTCCTTGCGAGTTGTTGAGGCCTCATATGGGCATCACTTGTGATGAAAGCGCTGGCCTACCATTATTTGTTCAATGTGGAGCGCTGGTATCAATGCCTTCAGCGTGCTTCGCACCCGAAGAAAGTTGTCATTCTGACATTATTCTGACAGCTATCTTGACTCAAAGTCGAAATCTGACACTGGAACACACACCATGTCAATGTGTGCTGCTTCTGTTCAACAGATTGTTCTTATTCAGGAACTTACCACGTGCGTTGTTTCTGACAGAGAGCAGCAGGTGCAAGATCATTTGATGATCTCATGTTGATTTTTTATATTTAATATTATATATATATCATAATAGTTTTTATAAATATATATGATATAATATTTATTCTGGAAAGTGGTTTCAATGTGTTTCAATGTCTTGGACATTTTCAGGCCGTGGATGCCCTGGAATGTTTAGCATCCTGGAATTTGAGACCTGTGGCAGTGCTAGGCCGGAGCATGAAACAAAGGTCTTAGACTCTTAGACATTGTTTGAAATATGTCTTTGTTGGTTTTATGTAGTACTGAAGCGATTGGAAGTATCCCCCACTGGTGACAGAACTACTTTGAACATTGAATCAAAACAATTGGGATAGGAGTGCATTTCATCAGTAGATTGATGCAACGACTTGTGTCCACAGGGCGCTGGCAAAAGCTGAGCCAGTGGGTCATCCAGTGGGTCTGACAGTTTTCTCAACATTTCGATTCGATTCTAATCATTTCACCCATACTTTCTACATCTTTCTACCATCCATTTCTATCCATGTCTATCCAACGTATCCAATCTCCACCATGGCCGCCAGAGCGTTTGGATGGCATTTTGGTGGATCGGCTGGTGGAGCTGAAGTACACCGGGAATGTCCGGGGCTCCGGTTTGCACTTTGAGATTCGGCAAAGATTGAGATTTAACGATTGGAAAAGGATCATAATTTGGAGAATTGACATATTATATCATATTATATCATATTGTATCATATTATATCATATTGTATCATATTATATCATATTATATCGCATTAAAACATATTAAAACATATTATATCGCATTAAAACATATTATTTGTTGGCAAGTAGACAGCTGAGAAGTATTGATATACAACTTTGCCATTTCTAGAGGATACTTGCCCCTTATATTGCTGTGTTCAGCATGAATCATGCTGAACACGGCACTGCGCCTAAGATCTCCCTGTGGGTTGTGGCCACGCAAAGCTTAGCTTCGTTGAGGCCAGTGGTTGCCCCGTGGGAACCTGTGGTTAGTGAACATGTCAAATCATTCAGCATCATGTTCTCAAACCAAAGGGCCATAAAACTTGAGGTATCCAACTTCTTGAGACAACTCATGACAAATCCATACAGTTCAATATATTGCTGCATATTGTACGATGTCGTTTGATTTCCATTCTTTTTATCATGTGATGCTCTAAGGCTGGCCCAACTAGGAAAGGGTGGCACCCCTGCGGCAAGGTATCGGGAGGCATCTTGGCCTCTCTTGGTGTGGCCCTCGGAGCCAAATCAGCGAGCTTTTACATCGTAGAAGACTTGCTGGGAATCGTCGCCCATGTTGTTTGGACTACTAAGAAGTCTTGAAGTATTTATAGTTATGTTATGTTCTGTTTATAGAATAACTTTCTCATGACTTATGATTCAACTTATGATGCTTATGGTCATTTTAACATTCTTTAACATCTTTTAACTTTGAACTAATGAGTAGCTGAGTAGCTAATGAGTAACTCAGTATCCGGAGAAATCTTGTCACCAAGGCTCTGGAGTTGGCTTCGGACAAGGTCTTCTTGGAGAAGGCGATGTGGAACGTCGTGGAACGTCGTGGAACGTCGGGTGATGGAAAAGTGCCATGAGATTCAGCTGATTCAAAGGGTGATGACCATGATTATCAAAGGGTGATTACATAAATATATATATATATTCATATATATTCTATATATATATACCATCTGATTAATGATTTGACTCAGCCATGGAAAATCACCATTGTTTAAGAGATAAATCATGATAACACATTGATAAATTGACCATTTCCCATAGCTATGTCTATGTTAAATAACCAGAGGGTACATATCATATATGTTTATTATATATTCATGAATTCATTGTTATGCTATGAATTGTTTTGATCAGGAGTGTATATAATATCTAATCGTTGTGATGATGCTGATACTTATTATCAACTATACATATTAGTAATATTGTAATTACGCTACTATTGTTATTATATAGATGTCATTAGTATTGTTATGATGGTTTTAGTTTATTATGATTGAGCTGCAGATGGTCCTTGCTCCCCTGACCGTGTAACGAGTGTTGCGAGGTCCCATTGCACCGGCAATGCGAACTGTTGGCAGGCGCCACCGATCACCAGTGTTTTGGCTGTGGTTCCTGGGTGTGTTCCATGAATCTCCTTGGTCACCAGGTGGTTTGCCAATTCAAAAAAGACACGATGTGACTAAAGATTAGTATACGGTATACGCATGTTAATTTCACATTACTGTTTATCTCTATCTATTTGCCGCTTCCACAAATAGGTTTCGCACAGCTGGGCCTTTTCGATGCAAAGGCCTTCAGGCGCTGCGAAAAATTGGGGTTATCATCGGGTTGCATAGGTGTGAGAAAAGACACATCTTTTTAGTTTGGCGTTAATCTCACAATCTGGTTCACATCATTTTTGCCGAGTTGTGATGATCGTTGGAAAATGTTGGAAATTTGGCCATGACTCAGATTTCTCTCTCTGATTTGCTGACGCCATCTGACGCCCCAGGGGTTAGTGGATGTTAGCGGGGTTAGTGGCTTCGTCCCAGGAACTTTGCGGAGCTGCTGTTGGCTGAGAAGAGCCACTTCAAGGATTCCAAGGACTGAGTCGACTGAGTCGAATGAGTTAGCCGCATCGATCACCTGGGAGTGGCCGGCTTTCTGAACTTGGAATGTTTGGTCATGAAGTTCTCATGAAGTTCTTGAGTCCTTTGAGTCCTTTGACATTTGAGGCAGGGCTTGTCTTTAGAGTAATGATCCGTTTAGGCCCACGTAGAAGGGCCCCAGGACATGGCAAAGGTGCTGATGTCATTTGCTCAGAGCCACTTCTTCCACGAAGAGGCCCAGTGCTGCCAGGGAGCCACTGGAAGCTGGAATCTGCAGCTATCCCCGGCTATCTGCAAGGGGCATTAGTTGAAGAAACCTGGAAACGTCTGGAAACCTGAAGATTTGGCCAGGCCATCCTTTCTGCACCCAGTACGAGGTGATACCTACTGTATCCTGCTGTCTTCTGCTGTCATGGGCCGCAGATCTTTGACACGCTGTACAACTTGTTCCTGGACATGTTTCAGGACATCTGCCGCCACGAAATGGCCAGGAAAGAGTTGAATTGGATGTTTACTTAATGTTAATCATTGTCACAGCAAGTGCCGTGCCTATGAACTGTGGAATAGTATCACCATCGCATGATGACAAAATATATACACGACTTGAGAAGAATGGGGAGCACTCTCAGCATTCCAAGCCTGACTGGGCACCTCTTGATGATTCTTGGTAATTTAGATCATGTCATATCATGTCATATCGTGTCCTGTCAGGCTCAAGGCATTGCAGCTTCAGTTTTGTTTGAGTCCTTCTGTGACCATGTCCGGCGTCATGGCAGCCGTGCCCTCGGTGGCAACTTTGCGAACAACCGGCGTCCAGCCAGCCGTTCACACCGGAGTTGCCACGCAGGTTGCAGCACCATCATCCGAGCCTTGGTTTCATCATGTTTCATGATTATATGATTGTTTCATCAGGGTATAGACTTGCTGGCTCCTGGTTTCCAAACATGAGATATTAACATGTTCCATCATGTTCCATCCTGCAAAATGATGATCAAGACAAGGTGCCCGCCATTAGCACAGTTTTATGGAGCCATGGCATCTGAAGGGCCTATAGGGACTTCTTCTCAAATAGGCCAGTGGCTCGTGAGTGTTTGCCATACAACACACATTGTGTATGCATATAACATATAACAATATTTACATATACCAGTCTTGCTATACACTACACACTAATACTACACAATATTACAAATTACTTTATTTTTTTTAGATCATGTATATTATTGGCATAATGTCATCATCCTCATCCTCATCATCAACGATGACATGTTCATTTCCCAAGGCCCATAGCTCCGGTCTCTCTGCTTGTGGCCTCGCAGCTGTTGGTTTGGCCGCCACCGCGGCCGCCCGCAGCCGTCGCAGCAGCCTGGTGCGTGGGCAGCGCAGCGTCGTCCCGGTGCGCCCCAGCCGATCCTTGCGACTTGGCGTGATGCACCGATCCTAGCACCGGTGAAACGGCAAAACTTCAAATCAAAACATGGGAAACCATGCGGAAACGACGGATTTGCTCCAAACATGGGAAAATTTGAAGATCACTGATCACCGTTGGGTATTGTTCTATGATTCTATGTTTTGGGTTGGCTTGGGCCCGGCATTTTATAGAACAGTTGGATCCCAGACCACAAAGATCAAGCTGTGCAATGTCTTAATTGTTTCAGCAGTAGCATTTTCATGGCGAAACTGCGAGTGGCTGAATGGCTCACTGATTTTGATGGTCGGTTCCTGCTACAGGTAATCGTTGCCATTCTAGAGCTAACGCATGTGTCCAAGCTCGACTTCAAAGAAGGCTTGCGTTCATCGTTTAGGAGGTCCAAAAAACATCAAAAAACCTTTCTATAGTGTTTCGAAGCTACAGAGTTGACCCAGGTTCCATCTGGTCTAGCGATGACTTCCTGATAACTTGACCAACCGCACGGCTTTGCGTCATTCAAGTTTCAAACCTATCAGCTTCGGACGGTAACGTGTTGGCTTGGCATGGCTGTGAAACAAATCTTCTCTGTTGTACTGCCTCCGTTCCGCCAACAAACTTGCGTCATTCTTTAGCCCTGCAGCTATGGATTGGGTGTATATTCGCTTTTATTGCAGAATGTTATCCAACGTGTCTTCTGCATTTTCATGGCGCTGATTTCGCAATTTCTTAGATAAATTATGATAAATTACCAATTCTCGCTAATGCTTACCGCAGCGCCCAGATCAGCACCCTTAGGTGCCTCAATTTTACCCATACATGACGCGACTGGAGCGGGAAGTTACCAAAAGGTTTGCAAAACCACCTAAGCAATCCTAAGCATATCTAATCAGCATCTCCGCAGCTAGACTGCTAGACGACCAAAAACCGACTCAGTAGGTACGAGGTGCCTTTTCAGACCTGCTTTCGGGCTGGGCTTCCAAGCTCTGAAAATGGAAGTCTGCAAGAGCCGGCCTCAAGCGTTCAAAAGCAGCAGCACGCTGATTCTGCACATAGCCTGTTGGCTTCTAAATCTGTTAGCTCACAATTTATTGGAATAAATTGCCAATTCCCGCCAATCCGTACTGCAGCGCCCAGCTCGGCACCCTTAGGTCCTTCAATTTTACATAATTTTACCCATACGTGACGTAGCTGGAATGGGAGGTTACCAAAAGGTCTGCACGGCCACCTAAGCAGAACCACTTGCTGCAGGTGTACCGCATTGGGCTACACAAATACAAGCAAATACACATGTGAATGGCACAAAGATCTGAAGTGAATGGCGCCGAAGGATTAGGTGAAACAAACGGCCCGGCAACTGCGAGAGGTTTCCAAATCACCCCAAGGACCTTGCTAACGCTAAAATATGCTAAAATATTAAGAGCCTCCGAAGCAAACGCAAGTAGATGAGAAGTGAATGAAACATGAGAAAATGATGAAAATCAAAAATGCGCTGACTAGTGTTGTGCTACATCGAGACAAGATGAATCCCAGTTTTTGAGCGCGCCGCGGTTGTGCTGTGGATGGCCCTGGTTGCGCTTCAAAACCCTGGGTTGTGCTTCATCGAGGCGAGATGAAGCGCAACCCTGCATTTTTGACTTTTGACTGCTCGAAGTACCCCAACAGTCGTCCACCATTCGAAGCAACCCTCCAATCAAAGTTAAAGTGAGGCAATGAAACAATGCCAGACACATTTTCCCATGTTTCATTCACTTCCCATCTACTTGCGTTTACTTCGGAGGCTCTTAATATTTTAGCATATTTTAGCGTTAGCAAGGTCCTTGGGGTGATTTGGAAACCTCTCGCAGTTGCCGGGCCGTTTGTTTCACCTAATCCTTCGGCGCCATTCACTTCAGATCTTTGTGCCATTCACATGTGTATTTGCTTGTATTTGTGTAGCCCAATGCGGTACACCTGCAGCAAGTGGTTCTGCTTAGGTGGCCGTGCAGACCTTTTGGTAACCTCCCATTCCAGCTACGTCACGTATGGGTAAAATTATGTAAAATTGAAGGACCTAAGGGTGCCGAGCTGGGCGCTGCAGTAGGGATTGGCGGGAATTGGCAATTTATTCCAATAAATTGTGAGCTAATAGATTTAGAAGCCAACAGGCTATGTGCAGAATCAGCGTGCTGCTGCTTTTGAACGCTTGAGGCCGGATCTTGCAGACTTCCATTTTCAGAGCTTGGAAGCCCAGCCCGAAAGCAGGTCTGAAAGGGGTCTGAAATAGGCAAAAAACACCTTGCACCCACCTCGTACCTGCTGATGCGTTTTTGGTCGTCTAGCAGTCTAGCTGAGGAGGCGCTGTAGGTGTCACACCAGCCGTAGTCCACCATTGAGCCAGCACCATCTGCGCCATGAAAGTGCAGAAAAGACTCTGAATAAGATTCTGCAATAAGCCAGTGAGTAAACATCCATGGCGTGCTTGGGTGGCCTGAAGACTCTTCGGCAACTTCCCAGTCCAGCTGCGTCATGTATAAGTAAAATTGAGGCACTCAAAGGTCATCCTCCATTCGATTTATGTATGTACACAAAAGTTTACAGTATACTATACAGTATACTATACTAGTATCTGCAATTATGTACATATATATATATACACATGTGTAGGGCAATGTAAAACGTATTTTAAAGGTGCAATAGAAACATTTTTTGCACACACTGACACATATTTATCTATATAAATATATATATATGAATTATCTTCACTAGTTTTGAAAGCAGGTTCAAAAACTACTTTTTACATGTATATATGACATACTGGCACTCTTTGCACTATACAGATCAAATGTCACAGCCAATGCCAGAACGTGATCTTGAAATTTCTACATAATATATAATATATATAATATATAATATATATAATATATATAATATATATATATATACGCGCAACACCTGGGTTTTGCCCAGGCGTTGCAGCGTAGAGGTTTCCCATTCAAAAACACATGATGTTGCAAATTACCGTAATTCCTGTAGGGAAAACAACAAAGCTAGGGACTATTAAACAAACAAGGTCAAAACACCCGAAATTCCTATGGGAAAAACAAAAACGGCATAACATTTGAAATTCCTATGGGAAAAACAACAAAGGTACTAGGAAAGTTTAAACTCTCAAATCGTGAAACTTAACATTCAATTAGGAAGATCAACAAAGATATTAGGGAATATTAAACTCCCACCCCCGTTAAACTTCTACATTCATTGAAGATCTTCAATAAGGGTTTAATTCTCCCACCCCCGTTAAAATTCTACATTCATTGAAGATCTTCAATAAGGGTTTAATTCTCCCACCCCCGTTAAACTTCTACATTCATTGAAGATCTTCAATAAGGGTTTAATTCTCCCACCCCCGTTAAACTTCTACATTCATTGAAGATCTTCAATAAGGGTTTAATTCTCCCACCCCCGTTAAACTTCTACATTCATTGAAGATCTCCAATAAGGGTTTAATTCTCCCACCCCCGTTAAACTTCTACATTCATTGAAGATCTTCGATAAGGGTTTAATTCTCCCACCCCCGTTAAACTTCTACATTCATTGAAGATCTTCAATAAGGGTTTAATTCTCCCACCCCCGTTAAACTTCTACATTCATTGAAGATCTTCAATAAGGGTTTAATTCTCCCACCCCCGTTAAACTTCTACATTCATTGAAGATCTTCAATAAGGGTTTAATTCTCCCACCCCCGTTAAACTTCTACATTCATTGAAGATCTTCAATAAGGGTTTAATTCTCCCACCCCCGTTAAACTTCTACATTCATTGAAGATCTTCGATAAGGGTTTAATTCTCCCACCCCCGTTAAACTTCTACATTCCTTGAAGATCTCCAATAAGGTTTAATTCTCCCACCCCCGTTAATTCTACATTCATTGAAGATCTTCAATAAGGGTTTAATTCTCCCACCCCCGTTAAACTTCTACATTCATTGAAGATCGTCAATAAGGGTTTGATGGTGTTGATGATGATGATGATGATGATGACTATGTTGATGAACATGGTGTTGTTGATGATGATGATGATGATGATGATGCGTCGCCCGTCGTCATTGCGGGTCCGGGCAAAACCCAGGCATTTGCCGTATATGTATGTAATATATATATATATTTATATGTAATTTATATATATAGATATATATGTAATATATATATATACATATTTAAATGTAATATATATATATATGTAATATATATATATATGTAATATATATATATATGTATGTAATATATATATATATATGTAATATATATATATATATAAATGTAATTTACATATATTTAATTTATATTTATATATATATATGCACATATGTACCTTTGTTGCGTTTACAAACCAACATTCTATTTTATGGGAGTCCAACGTCACCGCCAATACCCAAGGGTGACATTGAAGATTTATCATGGTTTATCACTATTTATATTTATCATATGTTTTCATGTCATATTCAGATTTAACTGAGATTATCTGAAATTTGTGGCGATTTTGGGGAACATGAGGGTTTAAGGTTAAAAGCATTGGATTTTGTAAAGGGCCGCTTAGCTGCTTTGCCCGTTCTTGGAATCATGTTGATGTTGTAGGTCGAAATGGCGATGTTTGCTCGAGGCCATCAGCTTCCACGTTAAAAAGCCAAACATTTGCAACCAACCAAAAAAGGACTGCCATCCGATCATCCAATAATGGAATCATGTTGAATTATCTTTGAATATCTAAAATCGGAATTCTCTTCATCCCAATTTTCACCAACATATTCCATACATTCCATTGCTTTCAGAAAGTCCATTGGAATTGCCCGTCGTTTCCACCTAAGGAGCAGCGCCAAGGTGGTGGTCTGTGCTGGCGTCAACTTCCCCGAGGGCCGCAAGCTCCGTGTGGCTGTGGTGGGGGGTGGCCCGGCAGGGGCCAGCGCAGCGGATCAATTGGCGAAGGAGCGAAAAATTGAAAAACCGGGAGACCGAAATTAATGGAAATCGATGGAAATGGCTATATGATGTTATATGTCCGTCACTACCATCACTACCAGTAGTGCCGCACAAGGCGGTGGCGGAAGTTTCAAAGACAGGACACTATAGGAGAGGTGAGTTGTTGTGATGCATGAATAGCAGAGCGAATCCACTGATGGACGGAAAAGTGGTTGGAGTTGTGCTTTTTGGAGTGCTTGCAATGGTTGCAGTGGTCACCTCACCCACAACTGCTGGATGTAGTGTGCTGTAGCGCAGCTGTAATTCTAGTTGCAGCGTTGTGGAGTTGTAATTGTAGTGTAGTGTAATTAGTGCACTGTAGTTGTAGTTGCAGTTGTAGTTGTGGTCTTGTTTGATGAGTGCAGTGAAATGACATGTAGTGTAGTGTAATGTGCTGTAGTGTTGTGTGCTGTAGCGTAGTCCAGTGTAGTGTAGCGTAAAGTAGTGTAGTTGCAGTTGTAGCTGTAGTCGTAGTTAGCGTAGTGTAGTGTAGTGTAGTTGTAGTCGTAGTCGTAGTTGTAGTGTAATTAGTGTAGCGTAGTGTTGTGTAATGTGCAGTTGCAATTGTAGTTGTAGTCTAGTGTGGTGTAGTGCAATGTAATTAGTGTAGTGTACTGTAATGTAGTTGTAGCTGTAGCTGTAGTTGCATTAGCAATAGTAGTTGTACTTGTAGTTGCAGTTGTAGTGTAACTAGTGTGTGTACTTTTTTTTTAATGTAGTGTAGTGTAATTAGTATAGTGTAGTGTAATTGGTGTAGTGTAGTGTAATTAGTGTACTGAAGCGTAGTATATGTGTATTTGTATTTGTGTTGTAGTGGTAGTGTAGTGCAGTGGTAGCTGTAGTTGCAGTTGTAGTTGTCTATCTATCTATCTATTTATCTATCTATCTATCTATCTATCTATATCTATCTATATCTATCTATATCTATCTATATCTATCTATATCTATCTATATCTATCTATATCTATCTATATCTATCGATATCTATCGATATCTATCGATATCTATCCATATCTATCTATATCTATCTATATCTATCTATATCTATCTATATCTATCTATATCTATCTATATCTATCTATATCTATCTATTTCTATCTATATCTATCTATATCTAGCTATATCTATCTATATCTATCTATATCTATCTATATCTATCTATATCTATCTATATCTATCTATATCTATCTATATCTATCTATATCTATCTATACCTATCTATATCTATCTATATCTATCTATATCTATCTATATCTATCTATATCTATCTATATCTATCTATATCTATCTATATCTATCTATCTCTATCTATCTATCTATCTATATCTATCTATCTATCTATCTATCTCTATCTATCTCTATCTATCTATCTATCTATCTATCTCTATCTATCTCTATCTATCTCTATCTATCTATCTATCTATCTATCTTTGTTTCTATCTATCTATCTATCTATTGATGTTTCTATCTATCTATCTATCTATCTATCTATCTATATCTATCTATCTATCTATCTTTCTACCTATCTATCTATCTATCTATTTATCTATCTATCTATCTATCTATCTATCTTTGTTTCTATCTATCTATCTATCTATCTTTCTATCTATCTATCTATCTATGTTTCTATCTATGTTTCTATCTATGTTTCTATCTATGTTTCTATCTCTGTTTCTATCTATGTTTCTATCCATGTTTCTATCTATCTATCTATCTATCTATCTATCTATCTGTCTATCTGCAAGCTTGAAAACGAAGCTATTTGGCGAGACTTCCTCAATTTTTTGAACTTGACAACATCAGAAGCGCAGCAAGTCTGCAAGACTTGTTCAATTTTTGAACTTGACAGCATGAAAAAAGGAAGCAATTCCGCGAGACCTCCTCAATTTTTCAAGTTTACAACATCAAAAACGAAGCAATTCTGCGAGGCTTCCTTCAAAAATGGAAAATTGAGTGCAGAGCAGACGGTCTCGTACCAATGCGTTTTGTGATTTTTCCAGTCCATCTGCCTAAAGTGCCGCGCCTGCCACGAAAAAGTGATGCCAGGTCATACAACGCAAAATCATCTTAGCAAACCTGCAGATCTGATGCTTCAAAATGCAACTCTCTGAGGAAATCAGCGCTCTGACTCTGACCTGCTAACATCTCTGCTGACCATGTCTCTTGTACTGCGCTTGCCGCGGAAAATGCCTCTTTGCAGATCCTCCTCAAATGCCCCATGCCTGCCAACGCTTTTGAAACTGCTACAAAACCCTGACGCTTTTTGCTCGCTTTTGACAAGGTGCAGAATCCCTTGCGCCTGCCACGCGAAACGATATCTGAGCGTCCAAAAGTGGTCCGAACATGTGGCGCTTTTAACATTTTGACTTGGAAATGTGCTTGCGCCACCATGGCGTGCGCTTTTTCAACATCTCAACTTCCAAAAGTCGTCTCAGACGTTTTTTACACTTTTGATTTCGACATGTGCTTCGCGCCACAACAGCGTGCATTTTTTCATCATCTCAACTTCCAAAAGTGCTCCGAGAATGGTCTGCTTTGTACGTTTTGACTTCGACATGTGCTTCGCGCCACAACGGCGTGCAAGTTTTTATCTCTCATCTGGCCAGATGGCTCCGCACCCGTCGCTTTAGCGAGCCTACCCGGAGCCACAAATCATTGGAAAAAACGCAGTCAATTGCGACTTTTCTCGTTTTTCGCAAACCTGCATCTTCTTTCCTCTGACACTTTCTCTTCTCTTCTCTGATCTTCTTTCTTCTTCTCTTCTCTTCTCTTCTTTGACTCTTCCCACCTCTGCTTTTCCATCTGCCCATATTGCCGGAAGTTTGACTTCTAAACTTACTTCGATAAATTGTATGTCCAACATTTGGTGAAGAAATCATTTGTCATGTTAGCGACTTTGGATCTGATCAGATTCGATACATCTCAGGACCATGATGCAAGATGAGTCGCACATGTAGCGATTCTGAATTGTGATGTGATGTTTGTTCTTGGTAAGCCAGGAAAACTGGTGAAACAACAATTTCCAGAGTACTTCGGGTGACGGCCACCAAGCGATCGCTCCAGCTATCCAGGATGGAGTGGAGACTTTCCTCATCGAAAGGAAAATGGACAACTGCAAGCCATGCGGTGGGGCCATTCCCCTGTGCATGATTGATGAGTTCGACCTGCCAAAGGACATTGTCGACCGCCAGGCCATCATCAGGTATCATCAGAAGTCCAGTAGAGCACAGGGCAGCTGAGTTTTCGCAATCATTTGCCACAAATATCCGCAACTCATAGATATTTTGTACATAGAACATCGACGAAAATAGGGAAAATCACATCTGAACTGTTTGCCTGAAACATGACAATTTTTTTTGATTCTGTTTGTCTCAGAATTTTCCATGCAAACTGATGCATTCTGAGCGTTGGTTCAGAGGTGTTCAGATCCAGATGTGTCCAACGTGCAGGTGCGAAAGATGACGATGATCTCTCCCACCAACAAGGAGGTCCAGATTGGCCAAACTCTGAAGGATGACGAGTTCATCGGCATGGTGCGTCACTTGACAGTCGAAGGGGCAAACCCAAAGGCAGGGTTTATGAGCTGCACGTACACAGTAGTGTTGTAGGAGAGACAGAAGGGGTTTTCTGGGTGCAAGCGCGTAGTCGTAATAAGTAAGATGGAACTTTGCTGGATAGTTCCTTGATTGCTGCTTTGTCAAGGCTAAGAAGATCCAGACCCCAGTGTTTGCAACATTTTGTTACACCAACCAGAAAGAAAGATTGGAAATCGAATTCTCAGAAGTCACTGCAATTTGAACTTTTTTCATGTGGTTACCTTTATGAGTCAAAATTTAAGACCCGAGGGACTGCAGATTTTGGCTATATTATATGTTGGTTATTTATGCTTATTTTAGTATGAACCATCCAATACCCATCCCAATACCCATCAGCCCAGGTCGTGAAGTGCTGGATGACTTCCTCCGTCAGCGCGCCAAGACGAACGGCGCTACCTTGATCAACGGTCTCTTCATGGGCATGGCTCTGCCAGAGATTCTCGGGGAACCATTGGGGAAGCATTGGATCGGATCAGGGGTTCAACTTGTCAAGTTACTTACTGGTTTATTTGGAGAATCTGCTGTTGGGTGTGGGGAAATTTACCTATCAAGAACATGGGGATTTTGATAAATAATGGTTGATCGGTTATCAAATAGGGAGCTGTTAACCTGTGTCATTGGGCCAATTGGGAATTCCTATTTTACATCAAGAGGGATGTCAACCAACCAGCATAGGATGGGATAGAGGTATTTTCCATAGCTCAATTGCCTTATGCTTGGATTGATTAGGACATGCTGGGGCCAGATCAAGCAACTTTAGGGGGTTACAGTGTTCATGAAGTGAACTCGGAGTGATTACGGATTTGGAACTGTGGTTTCAATCCAATGTGCCTCTCACCGTCCTGCCAAAACCTCTGACTGCATCGGAACGATTGTCTTGGATTATGATATGGCAGGCTGTCTTTTATGTCCTCCTTTTTCTTTAATATTTCCTTAATTTCCGTCTTTCCGTAGAGGCCGTGTCCAGTGCTTAAACAGGGAAGCCACTGGGTTGAACCTGTTTAGGAGTTCCTGAGTTGTTTTGGACAATGGCCGCGAAGTGTTTGTTGCTGGCAGACTTTGTGTGAGGAAGAAGGGCGATTCCTACGTTTTGACCTACAACGACTACGAGGACGAGCAGGGCAACGCCCGAAAAGGTGTGAAGAAGACCTTGGAGGTCCGGGAACTGGGTGAAAAATTGCAGAACCCTGTAGATATGGGGATCTCTTGGGATCTCCATAAATGGGGGTACCCCAATAGCTGGATGATTTATCATGGAAAAGATTCTACTAAAATGGATGATTTGGAGGTACCCCGGAATGGAAACCCACATATTATATCACATATTCCACTATATAGTAAATGTTCACTGATTGTGGAAGATTCATGAATATCTAAGGCGTTTGTCACCCAAGATGAGCATCCGGCTCTTCATCCTCCAAATGATGCATGGTTTCATCTTTCATCCACTTTGGAGCTTTGTCGATATCAGAAATAAGTCCAGTCTTCAAATGACCAAAAACGACACTACTGTATGTTAAGACAAACCTAAATTCTTCAAAGAAGTCGATTTCCATCTAACTCCCCTTGAATCTGAAAAAAATGTGAAACTTGGTGAGGGAAAGGGTGGCAGCCCCGCTGGCTCCAGGTGGATGTTGTGATTGGGGCTGATGGCGCCAACAGCCGGGTGGCCAAGGATATCGAAGCTGGAGACTACGAATATGCCATCGCCTTCCAGGCCATAGCTGCCATAGCATGGTATGGAGCGGAACCTGTGAAACCTGTCTAGGGATTCTGATGGATTCTGGAGATTTTCAGGAGATTTCTGGAGTTTTGGATTTTGGAGTCAACACTGGTTCTACAGGTGCGGTCGAATTGTGATTTGTGTCAGTGGATCAGATCCCTGGGCAGGAGCGAATGAAGATCCCTGAGCAGAAGATGGATTACTACAAGGACCTCAAAATTCCAGGGTGATGTTCTGGGAAATCCCCCGCTTTAGATTCGTGTAGCTCGATGGTTTGACAATTCAACCATATTCAAACCACCATTTTTGGCAGGGATTCCCCTGCCATGTTTCGCTGGGCAGCTGCTAGGAGAGGGCCGAGATGTACGTGGGCGAGGACGGGGCAAGTGATTGGGAATGGAGAGAAATGGTTCCAGCGTCCCGGAGAACCAACGGTTCTATAACAGTTTTTGCAACTTGTTTCAACAAGAGCCAGCTAGCATCAGCTACCATCAGCTACCACCAGCACCACGGAATCTGGGCTACAGGATGTGTCTCCTGACTTCTATGCCTGGGTTTTCCCCAAGTGTGACCATGTGGCCGTGGGCACCGGCACTGTGATCGACAAGAAGGGCATTCAGAGGCTGTGAGTCCAGTGAGTCCAGTGATTTCAATGGCATGATCTCTGCCTTGTAATCCTTAGCACACAGTGGTGCTCCCTAGAACATTCTTAACCTCAAGGATATCAAGAACCTTGGTATTTGGGGAATTTTGGGGATTCTCTAGAAATGCCCACATTTTGCTGGAGAATTCGACAGTTGTGTTTGGAGCCTGTTCTTGAAATCCGGTGGAAAGATGGTACAATCATTGTACAGCATCACCAGGTCCCAAGGTTCCACAACCTGGCCACCTGTGGACTTGAAGTGCCAGATTCAGATTGGACACGAAAACCACCACGGCCACTGTTGGGCCATGGGTTAGGATTTCGCCTCCCAATATTTCGCATATTTCGCTTTGCTCCAGAGACCATGAGATCTCCAGAGGTATCAGCAGGGCATCCGTGACCGAGCCGCGCCACGCATCGATGGAGGGGAGATCATCCGAGTTGAGGCCCATCCGATGCTCGGCGCTGGAGCTGAAGCGAAAATCTCTGACCCATGTGATTTTCGGATATTTTAGGGACATGCATATCGATATTACGTACATATATATATATATACATACATCATCATACATCATTATATATCATTATATATCGATATATTATCTCAAGAAAAATAATTATGAGCACTTGACATCAGACATTGTACATCAACGGATATCCAAAATCCTCCAATTATACTTGTATGACTTGTATGGGGTGTTTCGTAAACTGTGAAGGAAAGCTGCCGTCTGTAGCCAATTTGGTTCAGATGCATCCACTATACAGAAGACATGTGTATGTCCAAGGCTGATCCGAGGTATACAGTGTACCCAAATCCACTGGTTAGGTCCGGTGTCATATCCCCCATGAGGGAAAAACTGTTCGACAAATTCAAATCACATTACATGGGTTTATCCAAGAATAGAGTAGCCCAAAATCCCATGGTTTCCCATCATTTTCCCATTCTTTGATTGCCAAAATTTTGGGGCCTCGTATGTTTTTGGATAACCCCAACCCTGGCCGAGGATCCCTGAGCATCCACGCCCATGGCGTGTGAAGGATCGAGCCATTTTGGTGGGTGATGCTGCTGGGTATGTCACCAAGTGCTCCGGTCACTGGGATAGAACTATAGAACTGGTGACATTCCAATTCTAGATGTTTTGACAGTCAAAAATGAGAAAATGATCTTAATGAATGATGTAAACGGGTTTGTCTTTCTGTGCTCGTGTGTCCATTTAGTAAGAAAGAATAGCAAGAGTTGCAGGAACATGGCATTTATGTTATTTCATTCTCGGGATGGTACCATGAAACCCATTTAAGTAACTCAGGCGTGAATGGGGATGCACATATATTAATATGTCTTATCAAGTTGATTTACATCACAATAGGGTTTGTCAATGTTTATCCATTATATATCTATCTATCTATCTATATTCATGTGGGGCACGACACACCTGAAGGTTCTCCCCTTGAACCGGGAAGTGCTCCCGTTTGCGAGGTGAAGGTATCTACTTCGCTGCCAAGAGCGGACGAATGTGTGCCAAGACCATTGTGAAGAACTCTAAGCAGGGCGTTCGCATGATTGATGAGGACGGGAAATGACTGGACCTTACTGAAATCAACTAATTGGAAGTCAAGATGAGTCAAGGTTTTTGCAGAAACTGTGGGTAAACAGGTGTTTAGTTCGCTGATCGAACGGTAGAGAGAAGGAGGAAAAGTACTGTATCCACTACAGCCATCATGCAGCAACGTCGTAGTGGTTATTACGGCTTATAGTCAAGGATCAATAGTGAAAACGTCTGAAAACATCATCTCCGGTAGCCAAGTTCATGAACCAGCGATGCAGTGGCAGGCCGATTTGATGGAGCATCTTCGTGAATGGGATGGCAAGTATGGACCCACCTATTTAGTACCTTGGCAGCCTTGGCATGTAACCCCCATGACTGGGGACCTTGGTTGAACTAGCTGGACATGCCGCTTTCTTTGGTTGCCATATAAGAGATGTGTATACTACTGTAGATTGGATCAATGATGTTTGATACTTATTCCCTTTAGTGTTATGATCTCTTCTAGTCAAAGTTCAGTCAAATCCTTTGGAATCATCCCACTGAATCCGATCCAAAAAGATGCCTCTGTGACCCAGTTCTGCATACGATCTTCGTCTGTTGAGGTCCTGGATTTGTTGCAGAAGGCCAGGGACAGCTACAGAGTTGAAAGGACGACATTCACAAATAATGACAAATTGCACTGATGCGTTCATGTTCAGTTTTGTTTTTTTCTTGATTGCAATGGATCCCAATGGATTCCAATTCAATCCCAGGACGTTTCGAATTGTGGTCAGGTTTCCTTTCCATGTTACAGGTCTTCTACACCAGCGACGCCGCGCGAGAGAGCTTCGTGGAGTTGTGCGAGGAAGAGTATGTGCAGAAGGCCGGTCGGCAAGTCCTACCATTTTCCACAAGTGTCCTATCTTTCAAACATGGGGAACGAAAAGAAAACCAAAAACGTGGCAAGGTTTAGTAGTGAACTGTCCAAAGCTATCCAATTTCAGGGAAAAGTCGTCAGCAAATATTAGTAGTGGACCTTTATCCAACTGAAGCGATCAAGGACTATGAGTGAGCCAGTCCTAATTGGATCCATTGACCAACTCGTAATGGGGGTCAGAGATAGCCAGGGTAGAATCTTTGGGAGTTGGATGACCAGTGGAGTGACAACGTCTTGGAGCCATACAGCCCAACACATCCCCAGATCCTACACACTGACATTCACTGACTCTAGGCCCAATTCCCTACAAACATCAACACAATTTCATGACAAGGTTGTGGGATTCTCATGTACCTTTTTGATATTTTTTGATCCCCAAAATCAACCGATGTCCACAATTGCATCCAAAGTTGGCAGGTCACCTTTGACTCCTACCTGTACAAGACTGTCCAGGGCAACGATCCTGTTGGTGACTTGAAGCTGGGTTGGAAGACCCTGAGCTCTTTGTACAAGTACAACAACCAGAAGACACCTGACCCCATGCGAACTTTGGCATGAGCCTGGCCAGATCAGGCCAGTCTGGCATGATATCATGAGTCAGATACAGTCAGATTGGATCAGCCTCCATTTCGGAGCTGGACCATGTGGGTATACTTATAGGTTCCGCGGCTGAGTAGCTGCAAGGTACCAACTTGGTATCATTGTTACTGGATTGATCAAGGATTGGCAAACGTGCCGACTCGAACTCAGTCCACGTCGTACGTTGTTGACTCCCGACATGGTTGAGTCGACGTTTTCCTTTTTAATGGACAGGCGCGAATGCACCTGAAACCTCAATGCAATGCCGGCCAAAAGACAGAGCCTTTGGTGAGGTAGTGGCTGTAATGCGGCTATACAGATACCCAAGTGTGGGAATAGTAGGACTTGGGTAGAATTGATATATGAATTGATGGCTATCGGGTGAGAAGTTCCAAATTCATCCAAATTCGACCTGCAGTTCAGCCCATCGATCCATCATCCCAGGAGGAATCCATCAAAATCGACAAGCGCGACAGCTACGAAGCCTTAGTCGAGGTGAGCCTTGGATGTGTGGACTTCAAATTGTTACATCATGGCGCATCTATTCGCTCTAGTCGCATCATGAATCAGGATGAATAAAATTCAACGGAAATCATGAAGCAGCTATTCAAAAAATTCAAAAAATACCATGATAATTTGGTATTTACATACCCGTTGAAATTTTTGTTACTAAATCTGAGGCCTCAGGGCCGTTACAGAATGGTTTTTGGCTACCATTTTGTGAAAAAAATTGACCCTGGGTTTTGCCATCTTGTAAGTGGACCCCCCCCTGGTACCGGAATTTTGCATTGGAAGTGCGAGTTTGTTACCCTCCAGTCCCGACCATTCTGTCGGAGTCTGGAGGGCTAATCAATAACCACTACAAATTGGATGGATTCAAAGCGTAAATGGATAATACTCAACAATAGCCCCTACAAACTGGACGGAGTTTAAAAATCTAGCCTAGGAGATCTCAAATAAGAGTGTATATTGAATGCATCAAGTTCCAATGCAGTCTGATAAGTGTACTTTATTGATGCCAACGTGAACAAATTTAACATCAGTCGCGACTTGCGATTTATGTCATTGCTCATGGAAGAAGAAGAATCAAATGTAGAATTTTTGTGCATCAAGTTTGTTGCTTGGACAGATAATTAATATATATATATCGATATTTATATTGTTTGATTATGACATCCAACGTTGTATTTAATATTTAGCTTGGCCACTCAGACAGCGTCCGTCACGCCAAAACAGACGGATGAACGCAAAAGAACGGAAAAAATGAACCGGGACTTGGGTTGGCCGGACTGTTGCAGGTTACTTCCCAGGGATCCTAGGATAGTGCGAGTATAGCCACCCCCAGTCCCCACCATTTTGTAAAGGGCAAATCGAGCCAACGGATGCGAGCGGATGCGAGTCGAGCAAAATCGGTGACTCATTTTGTAACTAGGGGTCAGATATTATATATATATATATATATATCGATATTTATATATTTTGATTATGACATCCAACGTTGTATTTAATGTTTAGCTTGGCCACTCAGACAGCGTCACGCCAAAACAGACGGATGAACGCAAAAGAACGGAAAAAATGAACCGCGACTCGGGTTGGCCGGGCTGTTGCAGGTTACTTCCCAGGGATCCTAGGATAGTGCAAGTATAGCCACCCCCAGTCCCCACCATTCTGTAAAGGGCAAATCGAGCCAACGGATGCGAGCGGATGCGAGTCGAGCAAAATCGGTGACTCATTTTGTAACTAGGGGTCAGCTTGGACTGCCATTTTGTAACAAAAACCTTCCTCGGTGAACGTTGGGTTCTGCCAACTTGTAAGAAGGGCACCTTAGGGACGCCGTTCTGTAGCTACAAAATGGGGCTCCCAACCCCTCGGGTCCAATCTGAACGGGGATGTATTTACACATTTTACACGATGTTTCATGCGTGTTTTGTCATCGCCTGGAGGCTGCTTGGAGTTTTGGTTTGGCTGGCTACCACAGGCCATCCCAGCAACAATATGACATGTACCCGTCGTTTTTTGCTGTGGAAAAAAAACAATCAATTGAAATGAGCTGAAAATGTAGTGTTGATCACGGTGTTTCTTTTCTGTAGCAATTATCAGCGGATGACGCCAACGGTTTTGCCATAATTTTGCACATCATTGCTGCAGCACTCCAAACTTCAGGATTTACAGTGGCACAAGAAGATGTCAAAATTGCAGTAGAGTCTCACTTCAAATTGTAGTATTCCCCTCTGTTGAGCCATTCGGATTCTTCTTGGCAACCTGTACCTCCAAAATAATTTCTGTGTAGAAAAATCCATCCAATTCCCTTCTGCTTCAGGAAGTTTGAGTCGTTTGCTAGCTTCCTGGATCACATTTTTTGGAAGGTCCAGGTGCAACCGGGATGACTTTTCCCTTGGGAGAGCCCTGCATTCACCCATGAGACATATTGGACCAAATGCGCCGATTCGACACATCACTTTCCTTGGTATTTTTGTGGTGCAGTAAATGATTCCCTTCGGGGAGCCCATTCTTTGTTCAGAGGAATTGGAGAGTTCAGGAAATCAGTATGTGCGATCTTTCCTTATCATCTCTTTTCTATTCAGCGAGGAGCTGTACCTACCTTGGATTGACATAGGCTTGTACTTGGAGCACCAGCAACACTGACTATTTGATGGTACCTGCTTGGAGCAGTCCGCAGCATATGTGACACAACATGACCCCAACGTGAATCCTCCACAGCCAAAGCGAACAAAGTACAGCTGTTCTTGACTTCTTGGTGAAGTTTTCCAGACATAGGCCGCTCATCATTGCCCCTTTCTACAAGGAACATCGATGGGTATGAATGGGTATGATTCGATATATCTTGGGCATTCTCCCCCTTTCGACATATCGTTCCTTTCACACTGCAATGGTGATACATTTGCACCAGGCAATCCTTAAAGGTCAGGGTGACAACACCAAGGCTCAAACCCAAACTGTGTGGACATGTTCCACCACAAGATGTGAGGGCCCACTATGAGTCATTGTTCGGGATTCCATGCTCAACTGGGTTTGGGTCAAAATTTGGCCCAGACAACCAGAGATCCTGCTGGTATTTTGTGTCATTCTTTTTCGTAACAAGAATGATTAGTGAACCATCCTAGGGCCGGACACCAATGGACACCCATAGTTTGTTGATTTTTGTTGATGTTTGTTGATTTTTGTTGATTTTTGTTGAAGGTTTATCTCATGTTTGGTTCAACACTCCATTTGAAGTGCCCATCACGGCATCCCATCACGGCATCCCATCACGGCATCCCATCACGGCATCCCATGGGCTTCACCGCTCCAGACCAAACCTGCTTCGATGCGGCGTTGGGAGCTGGCAAAGCTGGTGCTGGCGGAGGCGGATGTCTCGATTGGAATGATATAAATTACATTAAATTACTGTGATTTAGAATATTTAGATTGAGATAAAAGAATATAAAAGATCCATATCACACATACACAATGATACAATATGATACAATGATATATAAGTTGGCACTAATTGGCACAGATTATAGAGATATAACGATATAGATTATATGATATATGTATACAGCAGATATAGCTATAAAGATCATACATTGTAAATCATTGTAAAGACAGAGAAGATTGAGATTAGTATAATTATTCCGTATATAATTACGTATATATTATATATATATATATATTATATATTATATATATATATCTATCTGCCATTCATAATTGTATACATTTCATTCTTCATGGAATCTCAGGCGCCAGATGTGGTGAAGCTGTCGCACTGCGCCGATGAAGTCCGGGCACGAAGTAAGAGAAGGGTCCGTTAACTCGCAATAATAATCCATTCAACCATCGTTTAATACTCAATTGATACTGATTATTATTGATTTTAATACTCGGTAAAAGTTATCGCATGTTGTAGGCATTTAACACTAATTCAAGAATGATTTAATAACCATCCTGATGGTCTTATAGGCATTTAACACTATCATCAGTTCTAGGCCCGCACATACACGCGACACAAAGAAATGGTAAAGTGTGTGTGTGTGTGCGTGTGTGTGTGTGTATGTGTGTGTGTGTTGCGATCCTCTTCGCTTTCCAATGCCACATCTTTGGGTATCTTCCATGCTCATCATGCTTCCAGTGCATCCTTTGGTCCCTTTTGCTTGCCATCATCATTGCTTGTACGAGATATATATCAGTTAAATGACCTCATCCCCAAACGTTAAACAGCATCTTGACTCCAAATGCTGTTCCTGGACGGTTGAAATGAGGCTCTTTACAAGGTACATAGGCACCTAACAACGACTATTGCAAGCCAGTCTCTCTTTCCTTATACATATTTTGAGAGTTCTGTTCTTTGTATATGACATAGAAAGGCAGCCTCTCAAACAATTTTCAAGTGTTCTACAAAGTCAACATCAATTGGATTAATTAGATTTGATGGGTTGCCATTTAAAAAAAAAATGATGTTTTCTGAATCCAAAGCTGCCATTCCCCCTGATCCATGCTTCATCCCAGGTTATGGCCATAGCGAGATCTGCAACTCCAAGGTGGGGTGCCGATGGCCAGGAGTTTTTTCAGATGTTTTCTTTGCCAAAAAAGACAAACAGAGATGTGATAAAGTCGAATGATAATCAAACTATAATGAAGTTCAATGAAGTTCAATAGGTTGATAATTGCGATGATTTTTGAATATTATATATATATATGATTATTGGATTTGTTCTTAGAGTGCAAGCGTCTGAAGCCTTTGATGCAGGTCCTCGGATGCAGCACATGACGCCTTCTTGGCGGAGGTGAAATCCGTGTTGGAGGTGCGACTCAAATGATGTCATGCTATGGCATGATTCTACTTGAAAGATGTTGTTTCTTTTGCTATGGTGTTTTCACAATTCAAAGAAACACAGAGGATATGTTCAGCGTTGTGAGTTGAAGGCAGTCACCGTTTCGTCTCAGGAGACCCAGTGGAAGCACAGGATACAGCCACCGGAGGTGCTGCCCCCATCATTCGCTGCGACATGTCGATGGACTCCACGTGGCTGGCCCGTAGGATCTTGGGAAGTGAATTTGCCATGGTATAGATGGCCCATTTATAGATGGTTTACCTATTAAAAATGGTGATTTTCCAGTGCTGTTAAATATTTTGGATTTTGGATTTTTGGATATCCAGCCAGTCACAGCATGTCACAACTTGACCAATGATCCTGATGCAGCTGCAAGTGGCTATCAAAGATGCAGTATATTGAAAGGTGTTTCCAAGGTCCCATGGTCAAAACATCAGGAAACAGAGCATTCGACATGTCAAATAAATTCAATCCGTCCATAGAAGTTTGATTGCAACTTTGAATCCCAGAATTGGATGATGGGACAATTTACAGGAAACAGCTTACTCTGGGATATGCGTAAAAACCATGGTTTCCGGTTAAGATTTTCCCTGAAACCAATCCATTCATTGAAGCCATCAGAAGGTCGCTTTGAAATGTTTTGAAGCTCGGCTTTTCTGACCTTTGGTGCGTCAAAGCCATGGGCCTTCCATGGAGAAGAGCTTTGTGGTTTGGGACCCAGGGCCGCCATAGGAAGTGACGCCATGATGTCTGGATCAAAATCGAGTGCACCTGAGAGAGTTTTAGACGTCGCTTTTCTACTGTTTCGTGATTTGCTATTCGTCCACCATGGAGGGTAAGGAAATCATATAGTTATGGACGGCAGGCAGATTCTCGAAGTAACATCCTGGGGAGGGAGGGATCTTGGTGCTGAGTATGTTCAAAACAAACAAAACACTCCACATATCTCCACATCAATGATGGAATGATCGAGTGACCACATGTGACCACGCCCAGCTCGTTGTTTTTCTAGGAGAAGTGCCTTCACAGCATCGAGGCAGTGCAAGTGTAGAGCCATTGGAGGACGGTATAGTGACACTCACAGCTGCAAACACTGACCTTACTGTGCAGGAGATGCACTATCAGAGTCTCTCAATTTTGGAAAAGTTTGGAAGCGTATGGAGAAACCAACTTCAACCAATCCTGCAGGTTTCGCTAACATGTTTTGGCAGTTGCGCAGGTCAACGGCCGCCACATCGAGTATGCTGTGTCTGGTGAGGACTACGGAAACCATGAAGCTTTCAGCAAAATCAATGACCATACCATGTGGTATACCGTATATATATATATATATATACCATTATATATACCATTATATATACCATTATATATATACCATTATATATACCATTATATATATACCATTATACATACCATTATATATATACCATTATATATACCATTATATATACCATTATATATACCATTATATACCCATTATATACCCATTATATACCTACATACATATTATATCATGTTATACTGTGTATGCAATAGTAGTATAATCATAATCATGGTTTCTGCCCACTTATGTGGTTTTTCAATGTTTTTCAACATGATCTGTCGTCCCTATCCCTTTCAGCGGTGTCACCGGTGAATTCGACAGGAGACGGGTGAACCAGTGCTGCTTTTCTACCCACTAGGCTGGTGATGTCTCAAAGTTGGACAATATCTGGTGGGGCAAGTCCCAATTCAGCCGTTCAAACAAGAAATGGACTAGTGCATGCATACATATGCGTACTAGTGAGTGTGGAGTCCGGTGATTCAATTGATTCAATTCTCTCCAGCGAGTCATGGTACATGAAGGGGGGTTGTTCCTGATGCGCGGACAGATTGCGCAGGTGCTTCCCGAAGCATCGTTGCAGTGTTCCATGGCCCTGCCACGCGTGTGGGTGTGCGCTTGATATGTGGCTTGGACCAATGATTTGCTTCCATCGTTGAGCAGCTCGTCCAGGAAGTTCAATGGTTTGTTTCTGGGAGTAACTGTTTCAATCAGGTTTTAATATGTTTAAATCCTGATGTTCCAGGAGCTTTTGATGTGCAGTTGGGCTGTTGCTTGCCTTGTAGAGATTCTGTGTCCAAGGCTCCTTGGTGTTTTGCGTTTTCCAGCTCCTGCTAAGGCATCAATCGCCCGGGTATGGGGCAGGCACTTTTTGCGGGCTGCCTTTGCAGAAAGATTGCCGAGATGATCCAAGATGTTCCCAGAAGCCAAGCAAACTTGCCAAGATTGACAAAGGAAATGGTTTCTTCTTGATGCCAGGTTTGTTGATGTTGGATTTGTTTATGATTCAACCACAGAAACACAATATGGTTCCTATTCATCATGCCCCCTTCAGGCCTCTCCAACACACGTGGGTTGGGTGCCAAGAGACAGGCCGTAGTTGTGCACACCAAAATGTAAGCCATGAGGGGAGAAGGACGCACTGCGTCACCTTGCGATATAGTCTCTTCTGGAAAGGCGTGGTGAAGCTCAGATTCACAACTCACCGACAGCGCTTTCGCTGGTCTTGGTTTCATTTTAGCAATGAATGTGTTGCTCATTCTCATATTACTTAGTTTGGATCTCTTCATATTCACCACTGCCATTCTCATCAGCAGCAGCAGCAACGGTAGCAACAGCAGCAATTTCCAATGGAATCCGAGAAGACTCCCACCTTATTTATGGTGCCCTCCCAATCTCATGAGCAAACCTGCATTTGTTTGCCATTTTGTGTTTGTCAAAGAACGGAGTACGTTATCGTTATACATTTAGACAGTGTTTTGAAAACAATTTCTTGCTGTTTTTATCCGTTTTCCATCTTAATATTGCTGTTTTGGGGTTCAAAAAATCTTGGACAAACCGTGAAGCGGCTCCCACTTGAGGCTCGCACATAGAAGTGCACTGCCAAGACGTGGTTTCCTGTGACGATCTCAGGGAGTTAATTGTTTTCTGCAGGGAGTATAGGGAGTGGGAGCCTGCTTGCCCATTGGATCTTTTGGGCTAAGAAACTAACTAGTAATACAGGTGAAAATAAGAATAAACAAATAATTTTATATACATATATAGATGAGTGATGTTATATTTGCTGACCTTCAATTATTGTACATATACACCGTATACACTACTGTATGTTTGCTCTAGTGTATTCTATGTGTATTATGCGCTGCGTTAGGGGTAGCCTACCAAGTGAAGCTCTCTATGTGGACTCCCAACGTTTTCGGAGCCATCTCAGGCACTGAAACTCAATGGGTTTGATGCAGCGTGAGCACATGACAAGGTCCATCTGATTTCAAGAATAGAATGTCATCAGAATGTCCCTTTCATCAACTGCTCCAAGTTTTTCCATGTACTTTTGCAGTGGTTGAGTGGAAATGCTAGTTCGAGTCGGATTGGCTGCCACATGGTTTGCTGCTACTTACACCATGAAAGAGTCACAAAAGGAGTCACAGTAGCAACTACCCATGTTTCACCGCAGCATTGACAAGCTTACTCCTGAAGAAATTCCTCTCATCGAAATGTGTCAAGACTGTTCTTTTCTCGGAGAACTCTTCCGGTGGTAATGGAGATGTGAAGTGATGGACCATCTGAAGCTCCACCAGATTTCATCCATGGCTATTGCCCAGTCTCACAGCTTTGCCAACTCCCATGGCTATCAAGTGACGGTCATTGCTGTGTGCAATGGAAACGCTTGAGGACTCTGAACGGAATCTGACGGCCTGAGTGTGATACAAATTGACCACCGATTCCAGCAATTGAGCCATTAAAAATACCATATCCCATCTCATTATACTAGTTGCTTGATAGGTTTCCCTACTCATACCTGGATTTTTTTTGGGAAAATAACTTGCAGATGGTGTGTCGGCTGTTTCGGCTTCTGGCGTTTCAGGCACTGCATTTGGTGATGCACAGGACTCGCCCATGGAGACATCCTTAGGGCAATGCCCACAGAGTGCATTCAGGCCCGCTTTGAGATCGTTGACCAAGAAAATTATAGGAGTCTAAATGGGTGTGCCTAAAAATATATAGTCATTATTCGGTATACCGCCATGATAGCCGTTGGATAGGGGTAGTGATGATTAATTACAGTGGATTTATATATAGGGCACAAAGTAAAATTCGTCACAGTCTGATTCCTGGACATGTTTGGTGACTACCTTCATTTGGACTTGGATCTAAGATGATCTAAGTCCCACAACGTACGTACTGGCATTTACTGGATCATTGTATTTGTTGTCTTGTGAAGGAGCATCCTTTGAATGGAGGGTTCCAGAATGAGTTGTCGTGACGTTGGGGGTTATGTCCGCCAGATATGACTTGATGTTCTTCTGGATGACTAGCACCATGAGCCGTGCCAAGGGGCATCTTGGAGGAAAGGCATTGGGCCATGGCGGGCCATTGCGGGCCAAATCGCCAAATCATATGGAGTTCTGTATGCCATGTGACCTAAGGAAAAAGGTGGAACTGAGGGATCTTCCCATGCTTCCATCTTCAGATGCCATTGCAGCTTGGCAGGTGATGGGGTGAATACCCTGTGAAAGAATAAGATGATGGGAATGGCATGGAATGGCCCAAAGGATGCCAAGCAAATCCACGGAGTGATGGACTTTCTGATTTCTTTGGAAAGTGATGGAAGGTGGGAGAAGTCCCACCGAGATCCAACAAGTGTCCACGAAGGGGGCTAAGTTTTGCCATTGGATGGTGATGATGGCGACACAGACAACAATCAGACAACAATTGACTCAAGTGACAATGATGAAGATGAATATCCGTGAAGTGATAAGTATATTGATAGTATTATCATCACTATCAAATTGTTTTCATTGTGAATAACATACAATAAAGAAGATATATTGAAAATTATTGAAGACTAATATCATTGATATCATTCATTATCATTCATTATCATTAATTATCATTGATTATCCATGAACAAAACCAATCATTGAGAAGGACTGCACGCTGAGGCCTCGATGACACTGCAGCAGACGTTGCGAAGTGTGGCCGCCAAAGAGGTCATGACGTTGGTCTACGCGGCCATCGCCATGTGGCGCAGTGCCAAATGAGTGAAGGACAGTGCGATGCCAGAGTTACATTAAGGTGTCATCTTAAGGTGTCATAAGGTGTTAAATGATGGTAAATGATGTTAAATATAAATGTCATAAACACCCAAAAATCGTGGCGGATTGCACGACTCACAGAGTCTCCGGGGTTTTGCTTCCTTGTGCTGATGGTGTTGATTTGGAGGGCATAGACGGCAATCTAAAGTTTGTTGTTTGCAGCTCCAGCTGGGGCACTTTCATACACAGCCTAGACACGCATCTTAGACAATCACATATTGCTTCAGAAACGCCGCTGTTTTTTTTTCATGTCAAATTGTCAGTGCTCTCCGGGTACTGGAATCTTTTGTTTGAACTCAGGTTGTTGTATTCAGTATCGATGACCCTGATGCCAGTCGCAATGATGATGGTCATCAAGTGACTCTGCTTCATCCCAACATCCTTCAAGCAATGCTCAAGCCTCATTGAAACCAAAAGGATCATTGCAGCATATTGCAGCCAGAGTTTGGCAGCAATGAACTGTTGAACATGAACTTTCTATGACATTTGTTTTTTTTCTGTTGGCATGTACATGCATATATAATCACATATAGCATATATAATAATATATATATAATTATATATACATTATATATATGTGTATACACACATTGCATATACTGTATGATTAAAAGTTTCAGCCAAGTTTGGTCCCGGGTCCAGCATGAGGTGCGCAGAGACAGAGGAGACCAACGACTTTAACTGGTTAGATCCTGCCTGGAGTCAACAAGAGGTGGGGGACTCGACCCCCTGGGACGCATATGGCATATCATATGGCCACATCACCAGGGTGGTGGTGAAAAAATCGCCAGGCAATGCTATGGTGGATCATCATCTATGTGGTGTTGTGCCCCGGCTCGAAAGTTGCTCAGTTGATGTCAGATGCAAAATGGAGCGATGGAGAAGTAGAATGTGAAGAAGGAGAATGAAGACTACTGTATTTCTGATGAGTTTGTACATCTTTGTGGACCCCTATAGTAGGCCCTATAGGCCCAACTGTTTTGCTTGGCACCGCAAGCGCCTGGAAAGGCAAGCCATCTCCGCCGTTGCAAATCACTGGCAATTTCACATGGCCTACCACGCGGGTCAGCGCATGAGAGCACAGGTGATCATGATGGTCTTCCGGATGCTGGGTGAAAGTTTAGCAAATTACTGGCTTTTTATGGCGATCGATTCTCTGGCACTTCAACATGAACAGTGCATTGTTCCTTTCAGAGCTTCACATTGAAGCGGGTCGGGGCGGTGTTTCCACTGGTCAGCACATGTTCCCGCAATTGGACACAGGCTGCTTGATTTTTTGTTCCCCAACACATCCCATTCAAGCATCGTAGTGTGTTTTGTGGCCGGCTTTTCGATGTTTGCTGTTTGCTCTGTGTTGCTCCTCCTTGAAGGTGAAGACTAGGGTGACTAGAAGGCTTGCATATATATATATATACACGAGAAAACTCCGAATCAGCGACCAGACCTCCGAATCAGTCACCAAGAATCAGCGACCACGAATCAGCGACCACATAATCAGAATCAGCGACCACATTTCACAGATCAGCGACCACATAGGCGAATCAGCGACCATGAATCAACGACCACGACTCAACGACTACATGCTAGCCATTAAGTTTGGGCGCTGTTTCTTTTTCTAATGTCCCCATCATACCAGTAGTACCGCGCACGGCGGTGGCGGAAGTTTTAGAATAGGAAAACTATAGGAGAGGCTGGTTGTTGTGAATCACGGATGGCAGAGGGAATCCACTGATTGACCGAAAGGTGGTTGGATTTGTGTTTGTTGGAGTGGTTGTAATGGTTGCAGTGATCACCTCACCCACGAACATGCATCTTATACCAGAAATCAGGTCAATGCCCTCACGAAATTGCAGTGCGAGCTTTAGAGGGAGAGCTCTCAGTGAAAGACCTCAAGGAGTTCACCCGCAAGAAGAGATCAGCTTCAGCTTCCGAAACTTCAAGGGCGTCTTCGTCCGGGGAAAGACCACTTCGTGCGCCCAAGGCGTGGTACACCCTGGAAGCCATCGAGTTGAAAAAAGAGGAGAGACGAGAAAAGCAGAAAAAGGCTGCTGCAAAGTCCAAGCTTGCTTCACCTGCAGGGAAAGTGAAGCGCAGTGCTGTGACCAAGCATGAAGATTTATCAGATGAGGAAAGGCAAGACGTGATCAACAAGCTGGCGCAAAGATTGGATACCACTGATCTAGTTACCAGCCTGGCGATCTTTGCGGAGATCGCGCAGTTGAAGGTGACATACCCTGAGGCGCAATCTTCTGGCTTGGGCACCCAAGTGGCAAAGGGAAAGACATCGCCGCATCTGGCAGTTCAAGAGAGGTCCGAGAAGGTGATGGGTGGATGGCGCAAGGAGGTGGCAAAGTCCAGAGCAAGTCAGGAAGCAAAGTGATGGTCTTGCAGATTTCAATAGTCGAGCAGCCGTGCTGGGTTACTTTTGAACCATCAGTAGCACCTTTTCTGGCTGATGTTACTACAAAGGTGGAAGACTTATAAGTGCAGTGCGCCAATCATTTTGCACTGCCAATTCAAGGCCTGTCCTTGCTTCGCATGTTAATTCATCTGGGGGCCTCGCAGTATTTGTTGCGAATGCGATCCCCTCCCCTGTTGTATGGAATGGCATCTCGCCATCAAGCCTAGCTCGCGACCATGAAAACTAAATGCTCTTCACGCTCGAGGGCTCCGGTGGCATGATGAACACAGCAGCAAGAGACTGAGTGCAGTGCGGATGTAATCGCAACACCGGCTGAGGCGACCGACCTACGTTGCCGCCCTCAGTCCAAACCTGCTGAGGACGCAGTTTGGAACGTGTCCGGCTGTCAACTTCCAAGCAGCTATATGGCAGAATGTGCTTCCTGCTTCGTGAGTGTCCTGGGTTACTTCGAACCACCTGTGATGATAATTAAACGTGATTTGATTAGCGCAAAGCCAAAGCAGCCCCATGAGAGTGAGATGTCAACATCAACATGAAGGGCTTTCTTTGCTGTTTCCCTTTGACTCAGCCAGGAGCCTCACTCTTCGCTCGGTAAGTTGGAAGGTTTGCTTCTCAGCGCTGAAGACTTAAACTGGCAGTTGCAGTTGAACTTGGAGGGGAGCATATGGTTGCGCTGACTTGCCATTTCTCATATTGTTTTTCCAACTAGGGCTTTTATTGTGATACTGGTTCGTTGTTTGGCTGGTTCTTATATTGTGCGCAGTCTTCTGGGCATTGCCAGTGCATCTTGTACCCAGCTGTGTGCATAGAGGTTTTTATATATATATATACATTTATACATGTGCAAGTCGTACTCGATATGAAAGACAAAATGTCAGAAGATATGCCAGATAAAATGTCAGAAGATATGCCACATAGACTGCCAGAAAGAATGCCAGATAGAATGTCAAATAGAATGTCAGAAGATATGCCAGATAGAATGTCAGAAAATATGCCAGATAGCATGTCAGAAGATCTGCCAGATAGAATGTCAGAAGATATTCCAGATAGAATGTCAGAAGATATGACAGACAAAATGTCAGAAGATATGCCAGATAGAATGTCAGAAGATATTCCAGATAGAATGCCAGATATAATGTCGGAAGATATGCCAGATAGATTTTCAGAAGATATTCCAGATAGAATGTCAGAAGATATGACACATAGAATGTCAGAAGATATGCCACATAGAATGCCAGATAGAATGTCAGAAGATATTCCAGATAGAATGTCAAAAGATATGACAGACAAAATGTCAGAAGATATGCCAGATAGAATGTCAGAAGATATTCCAGATAGAATGTCAGAAGATATGACAGACAAAATGTCAAAAGATATGCCAGATAGCATGTCAGAAGATATTCCAGATAGAATGCCAGATAGAATGTCGGAAGATATGCCAGATAGAATGGCAGAAGATATGACAGATAGAATGCCAGAAGATATGCCAGATAGAATCTCAAACAGAATGCCAAATAGAATGCCAGAAGATTTGCCAGATAGAATGTCAGATGGGATGAATTGAGTGCCATGGTGGGGATCACTCAAAGCGAAGTATTTTTTTGCAGAATGGATTGAATGGTTTGATTGAAAAAGTTTGACATGCTGTTGAGCGGGGCATGACTAGTGTCGCATGAAAACGAAATAGTCTTGTTGATGTCAGACGAATTCATTAACATTAGAGGCCCTTACTGTTGATAAATTTCTTGCCGCGCATCGCCCACTATCATTTCCCCTTTCCGAGTTGCGTTTTTCGTTTGGCCCTGTTGGACGGCTAGATGCTCAGAGTGGAAGATGTCGATTGGAAGCTGTTGTTTCTTGTGCTGAATGGTTTGATTGAAAATGCTTGAAGTGTTGTTGAGCAGGGTCTGACTAGTTTCGCATGACAACGAACAGTCTTATTGATGTCAGATGAATTCATCAACATTAGAGGCCCTTACTGTTGATAAATTTCTTTCTGCGTATCGCCCGCTATGACCCACTATCATTTCCCCTTTCCCGCTATAAGCCAAAGTAGCCTACTTTCTGCTTGGCTTGGGTTGAGCAAACAACTCCACACAAATCCCACTGAAGCCTGGGCCAAGGGCACGAACTCGCTGCTTTACCTACTGTGGACTTCCACTGATCATTGAGAGTGAGCGCTGGGTTGAACGCAAACATACATAACGTGGTGTGATCTCATCTCAAGATGTTGCATTACAAGTTCATCATGTTGATCCGCCTCTTGAATTTTCTTTTAACCGTATGAAATGTACGGAACTGTTAAATGATCATCCTTTGATGTAGAGTGTTGTTTGCAGACGACCAAGTCGCTGCAACTGCTTTTTGTAGGCCTAGGGACGTCTAGGGATACCAAGATGGACTTGAAGCTTCCTGCGCACGAGCATTGCCGAGCGCCTAGCAATGGTATTTCCGTGGAGGGATCCCGGGCAGCAACTGCCAGAGGCATGTTGCGCACGAAGAGCAAGGTTGGTTTGGTATAGTTGCGATACCCTAACCTTTCTTGATCTGCTTGGTGACCGATTCGGGTTGGTTTGGTATAGTTGGTATACCCTAACCTTTCTTGATCTGCTTGGTGACGGATTCGGGTTGGTTTGGTATAGTTGGTATACCCTAACCTTTCTTGATCTGCTTGGTGACCGATTCGGGTTGGTTTGGTATAGTTGGTATACTCGAACATTTCTTGATCTGCTTGGTGATCGATTCGGGTTGGTTTGGTATAGTTGGTATACTCGAACATTTCTTGATCTGCTTGGTGACCGATTCGGGTTGGTTTTGGTATAGTTGGTATACTCGAACATGTCTTGATCCGTTTGGTGACCGATTCTCGGTGTCCGATTCTGGTGTCCGATTCTACTATCCTGGTGTCCGATCCTGACAATCCGGTGACCGATTCAGATATACTGGTGTCCGATTCTTAGTTCCCGATTCGGATATCCTGGTGACCGATCCTGGTGACCGATTCGGACGCCGCCCATATATATACAATTATATATATAATATATATATATATAAATTATTATAACTGTACCATTTTGATCCATTTTGACTGATTACATCATATTACATCATATTTGCCATGGTTTGCTCCTGGTCATGATTTCAATTGGGATCACCATCGTCTTCTGGGAAAAATACGGGAGAAATCACCAGCTGCACCAGCTGCAAGGAAAGCTCTGAGAGTTGATCCTCAAACAAGGCAAGGGCGGGTGCTCCGCCAACGGCGTTGTGTTCGATATCCTCACGGAAAAGAACCATGGGTCCAGTAGGTAAGTACTGGTTCCTGGGACCATTCTAGTACATTCATGTACATTCTAAATATTTCTAAATATGTTGCTAGACTGGCCTAAATTGGTTGGTGTTTTCTTGGATGAGCAAATCCAAAGGACTCAGGGTTTGCCCTCGCATGAAAAAGTGTGATGCCCTGACATAGCCTGGAAAACAATATGCCCACAAGTAGGCAGTTGACAGGTACACATGACCAAGATTGTCCGCGTTTGAGCGGTACTCGTACAACATCCATATATCACATGAAATTGGTTTCGTTGTTGTTCGAGGCCTTCTGTGGGTCACACCTTGAATCTGATGTCGACAGATGCTCAGATGCTCGGCGAAATCTCGTTCTCCCAGTTCCAAGCAGTCCACTTGGTGGAGCTGGGCCCCATGTCTCAACTTTGGGTGCTTTAGGTGTAGCAAAGGGGATCCTGACGCCAAGTTGGATGGTGATATATTCGTCCTTGTCCTTGACTGAGATGAGGAAGTTTCTGGAAGCCCTGCCCTTCCTCCACAAGCTTTGGGCTTCGCCGTTCCTTGGTAGCCAATGTGATGAATGCGGTGGGAATCCTGGATCATCCTTTATCATTGTTTGATTGTTTAAGGCCTGGACAAGGTTGCAACATGTTGGGTCAACCGTATGTTGGGTCAACCGTTCATTTCCTTGGAGCTTCCCACCTCACCTGACATGTTACAATTGCATTTATCCATGTCCAGGTTGATCATTGCATATTGTAATATACGATTTGATGTCTTGATATTGTAATTTGATGATACCAAACAAAAAAAAATATAATGTCTACTCCGAGTCTACTCGATTGAGTTTCCTGTCAGGCTTCAAGTTCTTCTCGCCAGCATTATCCTTCTGGCCCTGGTAGATGTGAGTGCTCTCTTCGGCATTGCAGCAGCTCGGATTCAGCGCATGAAAAATTGGTTATCCATTGGGATTGATGGTGATAGATGGTGATAGTCGTGATGTATTCCGTACCATTGTATTGATGACATTCAATTACCATGTATTACGGGTTAGATCTCGAACTATGTTTGATGGGAAAAAGGATATACTATAAGTATAGCATAGTATAGCCTTGGTATGTGAGCTAGTGCAACCATCAGTTTGGCATTGACGGCACATCACGGGCATCAAACGATCTTTCGGCAGCAGTTTGTTTCTGACGAATTCTACACATTTCTCTAAGTTATAACGTATTTATAACGTTTCCATACATTTTCACACCAGTTTGTGTCAGAGTTCCGGAAGCAGTTCCTCCCAGTCCCAGGTGTTGCTGCTGGTGGTGCCTCTTTCTCGTCATTTCGCCAAGCTCTTGGGCAGGTGGGAGCCCTCCGGTAGTTTGTTACATGGCTATGGAAAATGATCTATTCATGGTTCAATGGGGATGTTGATCTCATAATCCATTGCGAGAAGTTGCGAGAACCAAGCATTGGCATTAGATATATTAGATGAGGGCGTTTTGCATTGCGAGCCTTACTACCTAGTGCAGCAAGACTAGGAAGTAGAGTCGATACATCTTACTTATACCACGCTGTTTCAAAGATGGTACTTGTATGACTCGCCAAAGGGTTCTCCAACTGGTCCTTCTAGGATGAGTTGCATAGAGTTTTAGAGGAAAGAACATCGTCCAAGAGGGCATCATGTTTGCGATTGTTTGCGGATTGCGGAAACTCTGCAGGTTCCGAGCAAAACATTTGATCTTCCAGGATCAGCGGGTGCGCATGTGTGTGGAGTTGCTGGAAGGCCGGAGATGCCTTGCAATGACTTGGTCCAAAGAGGTCTTGATGCAAAAAAGAGTTTGAACATGTTTGAAAGGGGTGCAATTGTGGAGTTGACCATACTAAATAGCTGTTATACAGTGGATACATATTACTTTTCAAACATTTTAAACTCATCAGTTCGATTGATCGATTTCACTGCTCGCCAACAAGATAAGAGCATTTATAAGAGCCATCAAATCCATGCATGTTGAGATGTGTTTCCGCATCAGCTTTCCTGACGGTCAGGAATTTTCCCCTGCGCCAGGAATTCGATGCATCAAATTCTTTGCCTGGGAGAAACCATATTTGCAGCGAGTTTTTGAGAAGCGTCACCCGACTCAGCTCTTAGATATTCTTAGATGCTCTTAGGAGTTGCGCTTAGACAAACATGGCAGCAAAGCAATTATGACTGATAGATGCTAGCAGCCTAGCAGCTGCTAGCCTTCTACAATTTCCATCAATTTTCTATCCAAAATTGTTTAATCACATGTGTCCTTTATTAATTAAATATGTATCGTAGTCTTTTGATATCTCTTGCATATGGCAGCTCCTTTTATCACTTGACGTGCTACTTTAAATCGCCGGCTGGTCGAATATCCAATGAGGCGCTCATGAAATCCACTGGGCCTTGCGTGAATCCTTGATCTTCGGTGCCTTGGCCACTCCATCTCGCTTCACCGAGAACAGAAGACTCAGAAGACTCAGAAGACTCAGAAGACTCACAGAAAACCACATGCGCTCAATAAAATATGCAATATATATCAATATATTACAATCTTTTCCCCCAAGACTGGATGGTTTCACTATGTTTCACTGTCATGATATCTTGGTATCTTGGATCTTTTTGTCAAGCATCAGAATCAAGATCAGCCGCCGTTGAGATATCAAGTGCGATGATTTCTTAAGATATAGATTTGTCCGGCCGGGAGTAGTCCAAAAGTGCATTTTGTTTTATCATTTTTTGGTGCAAAAAATGATGGTCCTTTGGAAGTCGCGATAGACAGCTCAATCCTCATTGATGCAATTCGATAGATCTCCCACTTTGATGACTCAAACTGCACTGAAACCACGCTTGAAGTCAACATACGAGCTATGGCAGCTATGGAAGCTGAAAGATGACAATTTGCATAATTTTACGAATAAATCGTGACCATAGTGCAACTTACCCTCCTTTTCCAGAGTTTTTCTGGAGATCCTACATGGTTTCGCATGTTTCGGCTCAGGTTTTTCCATGATCATCGCTGTGTTGACTCCCATGTTGGCCTTTACCGCAACGCTGGTGGCCTTTGTTTTGCAGGACAACCACAGAACCACAGCATGGAGAAAACGACTGCCTGATGATTGTTAATTATGTAAGTTATAAGGTGTGTGTATATGGATATATAATTATATATTATCATATAACCACAAAACACCATAAGAAAACAATATGTATATACACACATATGAAATAACACGCCAATCCGTTGTTGGACTTTTGCCGTTTGCAAAGAGACCATGAGAAACATCATAACAAACACCAAGACGCCGAGAGCGCCTCAGGGAGATGAGAGTCGATTGACCGCCACACGGGTCTTCGGAACGTTGGCCCTGCTGAATGCCTTGCGGTTTCCTATTATGGATCTAGGCTGGGGAAATCTGGCGAAGGTGGTCGTGGGTCACTTGGGAGACCCAGAAAAGGCTGGTCAATGGTCAATTTTAGGGATCTGAAACTCTGAAACCATCCATTTTGGGTGACAAGTTTTGACCCATAGCCAACTGGAAAGCTGTCAGAAGTAGAAGTTCAAGAAGCGTGGTGAATCCGGTGGTTTGTCAGAGGCTGTACCTTTTGAAGGCATACTTTGGGTTTGACCAAAAATTGGGCAACCCTAAGAAAACTTACAGTTCAGAATCATGTTGAGAACGACAATGCCTATATTAAGAATATAGCCATATAGATCCATATAGCCTATAGAAATGTCATAAGGATAGCAGTTGCCATAGCCCAGTTGCCGGGAGTCTCCCGGGAGTCACCAGGCAGCATGCTGGCGACCATCGTCTCCTTGTACACTTCCTGGCATCGCCTGGGACATTTTTTCAGATCCTCAGAGGTGCATTTCGATGGGGGATCCCTAAAATTAGCTGGTTGGTTTATGGAAAATCCCATGAAAATGATGGATGATTTAGGCGTACCCCAAATCTGGAAAGCATGGTTTATGAGGCTTATGGATGGTTTATGGAAAGCCCCAAGCTGCTGGGTTTTCTGTGCCAGGCTGCTGTTCCGGTGGCAGCGTTGAAAGAGCCTGGACGGCAGAGTTGGAATTGATCCCCTGGAGGCCCTTCGCCCTGGCCAGCAAAACCCTCCAAGGCATTTGGGTTTGTCTGAAAATAGGAGAACCCCAAATAGAACAAATAGAATAGCCCTAAATCTACTGGTTCAACTGTTTAACCATGATTTTTCTGATATGTCCCAACCCATATTTGATCCAATCACCAGCATCCCAGGATGATGCGGAGCTGGTGCTCTCTCATTGCAGCTTCAGCCACTTCGGGGGCATTTCCGGCTGCGGCCAACATGGGATCCCAATGTTTGAGGAATTTCAACCAGATCAACCACTGGAGTTCGATGTGCAAATCTTGAGATACTCTACGTCCAGGAAACAAGTCAACAAATACTGGGCCTGGATGTACTCGTAATATCTCGTAATTGTCACAATGACTCATATCGGTTGTTGAACCAAAAACTGCACAGATCATGGATAAAGCCACAAGTGTCAGCTACTGCCTCTCAACTCAGCTGCTGTAAGGTTGCAAGGAAGGAACGAAGGAAATTTTCCGCCTGAAGATGGACGTTGACTTGAAGGCCTGCGCGCTTATGGAGGGGAGGCTGCATGTGACTGTCAGAAGAGTTGGCACTTGTTGTATCTTGTTCTTGTTCGCCAATCCTAAACGGAATGGATACAGTATGCCCCCACTTCAAGACTTGGGTTCGAGGGGAACTGAGGCCTTTTTGATCCTTTTTTGTATTTTTTTGTGTTGGTTATGCTTGTGTCTCATTTTTTTCCCATTACCAGTCTCGCTGTACCACGGTTTTTTTCAGCCAAAATATCGGATTCAGTACTGTACATCTGATGAGCAGTGTTCGAAACCCCTGTTGGTTGATGATTATAGACTATTACGGGGGGGTTATGATGGTCAATATATAATATAGCCATCTATCAGTCAACATATTAATATGATTTATAGATGTTGATGGTATAATCATATCCATTATGGGACTTCATATCAACATCGATGTTCCCGGTGCAGAGTTCCCAGGTGCGTCCTGGGGAGTTGGTGGTCATCCTGGGCAAGGCCAGGGTCTCAGCTCATTTTCCGGTGAAGTCGAATTAGTTGAGTCATGTTGAGTCTAATTGGTTGGATTTGTATGGATTTGTATGGATTCTCTCAACATATTTTGAGACATAGTTTGAGCATGTTTGAGCTCATCATCATCTCGCGACGTGCCATGCTGTGCCAAGGTGGGCAGCGGAAAGTCCACTCTGTTGCAAGGCATCCTGGGAGAAATCTGCCGCACTGGCACTGCTGCCGTGCGTGGCAGGTCTGGAGACCAAGGGCCATAAGGGCCCTGGCCGGGGCCGGGCGGGCCCTGATGTCACGGGATGGGAAACTGTGGGAGTGTTTCCAGTTTAAATTACCACAACTTGGGGATTTATATGGATTATTATGGATTTATGAATATTTATGATGGTTTGGTGGGGATGATATGACTGTCATGAAGGAATGAAGATGGGTAGATTGTAGATTCCAGTTCAATTACAGACCATTAATGGCCCTGAGATCATGAGATGCCCAAAGCCAAGGATCGCCTACTGCTCTCAACAACCTTGGATTCGCAACGAGTCCTTGAGGGAAAACGTCTTATTTGGTGAAGCTATGGACATGGAATCTTGGATAAATTGATGCCAGTTTCGCCGGAAGCAGGGAAAAAAGCAGCTGGTGGGCTCCGCTGAAGGTGCAAGTTCAGGTGTCTTCAGATACATGTTCTATACATGTTCCTATGTTTTCCATCATGTTCCCATCATTTTTCCTATGGATTTTCCTGATTTTCGTCGCGAGGATTGGTACACACAGGTCCTAGACGCTTGCGGCCTGGCCATGGATCTGCAGCAACTCTCCCATGGCGATTTGACGGAGATCGGGGAACGTGGCATCACGCTGAGTGGAGGCGAGGTCGATGGATCGACGGATCTGGGATGGATCTGGAGAAATGGGTGTCGCGAATTCATCTCTGTTTCGTCCTGATTTGTGTGTACTCCCCCCCTCAAACAATAGCTATACCATGCTATGCTGCTATACCCTCATTTAAGGTTGGGTGTCAAAAAACTCTTCCCAAGAAAAAATACGATCCTGCATTTAAGTAAGGATTTCAATTGGCGACAATTGAAATCTAATTATTTTTTTGATGAACTTATGATATTTGTAGTACTTGTAGTACCTTGTAGTGAGTGGGGTTCAGCCCGGTTCAGCATGTTGATTGCATTGCCTTTTTCCACCTTGAGTTTCTTATTCAAAGTGTAAAAAGAAAAAGGGAAAGGGAAAGAGAGAGAGAGAGAGGGAGAGACAGAGAGACAGGGGAAGAGGAAAAGGAAGAGGAAGAGGAAGAAAAGAGAAGAGGAAGAGGAAGAGGAAGGGGAAGAGGAAGAGTAAGATAAAGTGAAAGAGAACAAAATATGTAAAAGGTGTTTCTTTCTTCTCTTGACTCCAGGATCAGCTCTGAAAAAATTGCTGCAATTGTGAACCCCTGAGAACAAACCTACTAAAGTGAAATCCACCCTCTCGTGGCCCCAGTGCCTTGGAAATGTGTGGAAAAGCTGTTCTTTAATAAGGGTTTAATAAGCAATCTGATTCTTTTGGGAAAGGCAGACAAGCACGATTTTTTCCAGAAAAAATGTCAAGCTTTTTTCACTCAAACATTGTTTTTAATGGTCTGCCAAAAATTCTTGCCACAATAGTGAACCTTCCAAACATTGCAGGGTCGCAGAGTAATTTGGAACATTTTGGCCACAATAGCGAACCTAGACACTAATCAGAATACAACATTATTGTGAATTCATATTCATATCAATGTAATGTCAATTCGTCTCAATTCGTCTCAATTCATCTCAATTCGTTGTTTTGTTTGGGTTCAGTTGACTTGGTTTGGCTGATGTTTGAACTTGTTCCAGCTTCCACATCCAGGATCATCCATGCAAGTTCCACAGCTGATGTTGGTTTATCCGTTTAACCCAATAGGAATCCATCCCATCTAATCCCCAAGATTACCAAAAACATCCAAAAACGGATGGTAAGTCCCATGATGTCCCATGAAAGCCCAAAGTTTATTGCTCAAATCCCAAGAAAAATCCAGGCCAGAAACAGCGTGTGGCCTTGGCGCGCGCCGTGTACCATCGCAACTGCTCCCTGGTCTTGTTGGACGACGTGCTCTCAGCCTTGGATGCGCACACCTCGCGACACATCTTGCAGCATGGCCAGGGGGGGTTCCATGGGAACCCCAAAATGAATGGTTCATAATGGAAAAGATTCTATTAAAAATTAAAATGGATGATTTTGGGGGTCCCATTTCAGGAAACCTCCATATGGGGATTTCATTGAGTTTTGAGGTCAATTTGATGGGATGATTGAAAAATCCCAGCCGCTTATGTTTTTTGGGATGGTTTATGGCATTGGGCCTTGGGTTTACCACAGTAAATAAAGGTTTCCAAAAATGTTGAGAAAACTCTTCATTGATGGTAGGCTCATAGTTTTCAGTCCACTTGATCTATCTCAAACAGTTCATGAACAGCCATCCGTCCATTAGTGGTGTACAGTATATAATCCTAAAAAGGGTAGGAAAGTACTTCAGCACTATTTTACAAAGTAGGATTGTGCCTTTTCTATCTTTTTGATGATTGCTACAGAATGGTCAGTGGTGTTTGTGAAATGCTGGAGACGGCAGCTTTGGAAGTTTCCAGTGTGTCGAAAAAATGTTCAGTGGCCACCAGTTTCGCCCAAGGCAGGCCCTGATTGGTCCATCTGGTCTCCTGAGAGACCGGGCCGTGCTGTTGGCATCCCACAACACTGCGGCTGCAGAACGGGCACAGCGCGTTTTGCTGTTGGGTTCCACCGAAGGCCTCAGTTCAGGGTGGTACCAAGGGAAGTTCCCTGAGATTTCATAACAACCAGCTACCATTGGGCCAAGTTAAAGATGGAAGTTCACCAAAAGTAAACACGTGTCAGGTGTTGTTTGCAAGATTTTTGCACTTCAGAACTGTTTTCGTGTTTACCACTTTTAGATTCAATGGTAGAAGGATCTCAAAAGATACTGGATCAAACCGTCAACAGGCTAAACGCTCCACTCCAGATTTTTTTTTTCAGTCCAGCGATTGTAAAACTACAGTATAAACATATAAGTATGAGGCCCTGAGCTTCCTCGACTGTTGAATTTTACGTGCTAGGACAAAAGGACGTGGTTTGCTCTTTCAGGGATGTCTACTTCCCTTTTAGTAGACTTTCCCTGTTGCATGGTTTTGCATCAGAAACGCGCTTGGTTTGCAGCGACTGTAGTTTTACTCGCTTTGGACTTATTGGGCACAGTATTATATTTTAATTATACTAGAGAAGGTACATATTGTGGACACGATCTCCAGTTCGCAACTCCATGGCATCATGCCATCTAAGTTGCGGCATCACCTGCAGGGCCGTGGTGTAAATCCACAGGTCCAAGTGATGCAGAGAAAACCACGGAATCCTCCTTGCTCTTCGATGGACCATGGCTACTCGGCAATGGGTTTGTCGCCACATCAGTTGATAAGATGGCAAGTCAAGAGGTAGAGGCATGATAAATATTATATATATATATATTATATATATGACTATATAATATGATATATATATATAAATACTATACGTAAAGGGTGTTGAGAAGTGTTGATGTGATGGACATCTTCGTTCTTTTGCGAGTGCAAACTGCAAGAGAATGCCCCCATCTGCCAAAAACCAGTCCTTTGCCCCATGTTTCAGGAAAGAGTGAAGCCAGCTCACTAGATGGAAATGTGGTTGCAAGATGTTGTGAGATGTTTTTTTTTTTCCGGGTTATTCTAGGCATTTGTTGGCTGCGGAGTGTCACAAAGGCAAAAACTCTGCGAAGAAAAGGCACTCTTGGAGCTCATTGGACAGGCAATGGCTGTCCGGCTCGAGTTGATGACATGATACGCAAATCATCCTGCTGAAATTTCCATTTCCTGACACTTGATCATGCGGTGCAAATTGCTGGAAAAAGTGCATATGGTGATTATATGGTGATTATATGGTGATTATATCGTGATTATGGTGTATATGATAAAGGATTATAAAGGCATTTGAAACGTCTATAGATGCATTGATTATAGTTGCATGATTGAATTTCGGGAAATTAATTGAGCAACATTGAACACCTGACTTGTTGTAAGTTGACATTCTTTCTGGGCCCTGTTTGTTGATCTTGTCCAGGCAAATGTCGAAGCAGCTGGAGAAGGCGGTGAGAGTCACGAGACGCTGCAGGAGAGCTTGGATTTGCAGAAGCTGCAAGTCAGCAAGCCCAAAGTAGGTGCCTTGACGGACTGAAACAGCCATTCCGGTTTGAATCTTTATGAGCCTTGAAAAAGGCGTGATGAGACAGAGCAATATCACGTGTCTAACATCTTTCATCCCAAATTTGAGGACCCTTCAACATTCGCACAAGTGTGTATACAGGGTAGAACAGCGAATGGGCTTGGGGTTCCCCAAGATGTCTCCGATGTCTCCATGTGTTGACGTACCCTTTCATCTTTGCAAGGGCCGTTCTGTCGACAAACTTCTGTTGCCAAGGCATGATGAAAGCTGAAGACCATAGTGGGAGCATCTCCCGACGATCCATCAGCATATACCTGCGCTGCTGTGGAGGATGATGCGACTAGATGGGGGCGGTATGGGAAGAAATGGGATGGTACAGACTGAAAACAGATTTTCAGAAGCTATGACAACTTATGGTCATGTTGGATGACCCAGGCACACTCTTGCTTTTGGAGACAGTTGTTTATGGCATGCGGCTGATACGGCGCCCTTGGAAGGGTTGCCAATTTTGAGATGTGCCATTTACGATCCCTTGGAAGGGTTTGAAAATGAGGCTTGCGGAAATGGGGGTATAGGATTTGATTTTTTTGAGTTTTTAACATGCTGCACATGCTGTCGGATGATCATCAGGGGGGGTGGGGGGGGTGTATTAACGTTCTTGACGAGCACTTCCTTTACGTTACGGAAGATGCACACGTTGCGCATGCTGTCGTATGATCATCAGGGGGGTGGGGTGTGGTGGGGTGTATTAACGTCCCTGACGAGCACTTCCTTTACGGTACGGAAGATGCAAACGTTGCACATGCTGTCTGTTGTGTCAAAGATTATCCCCACAAAAGGTTCAAGTCGGCCCAAGTCAACCACAAACAAAATATCTTTACTAAGACTAAGACTTATCATTTTCGAGGTCGTTTGTGGGATAAATCCTATAGAGCCTTGAAAAAATGGTGACCTCCGTCGATGCTCCACAAAAAAACAAAACGTGTACAAAAAAAGGTACACTTGGGCCTACAGCTGGACATGGCGTCACAACGCTGCCTTGTTGCAGACTGTGTTGCAGACTGTGGCTTCTGCATTGCCACAAGCGCTCTGGCA